AACGATAACATCTTTATCCGAAAGTTTTGATAAAATATCTTTTCTAACTGTTTCTTTAAGTTCATCATTGTACGATTTATTGATATCAACATCTATAATCGTTAAATTTGAAATTTTATTTACTAATAAAGCTGTACCAGTTTTCCTTCCTCTTCCTCCATCATGTTTGAGGTAGTTATGTAAATCAATCTTGTTTTCACCAATTCTTTCGTTGAGGGTTTTAGTTTCTGCCACAACTAATTCCTCAGCTAATGAATCAATAACTTTTTCATCAGAAACGATAAAGTTGCTGTTGTTGTTTGTTGCTGTCATTTATATAGGAATAAAAAAATAAAAATAATTTTAAAACTAACTTTATTTTTGGACTGCATCAAATTTTCGTAAATGTTGTCAAAATGTCATGTTGTCTCATTTTTTCAGAGAAGTTAAATGACCTGGTGACCTGGTGACCTGGTGACCCCTTCAGTTCTTCAAAAATAAGTCATAACTGCCTTCCTCCTGTGATGTTCAAAATGTCATGTTGTCTCATTTTTTCAGAGAAGTTAAATGACCTGGTGACCTGGTGACCTGGTGACCCCTTCAGTTCTTCAAAAATAAGTCATAACTGCCTTCCTCCTGTGATGTTGTCAAAATGTCATGTTGTCTCATTTTTTCAGAGAAGTTAAATGACCTGGTGACCTGGTGACCTGGTGACCCCTTCAGTTCTTCAAAAATAAGTCATAACTGCCTTCCTCCTGTGATGTTGTCAAAATGTCATGTTGTCTCATTTTTTCAGAGAAGTTAAATGACCTGGTGACCTGGTGACCCCTTCAGTTCTTCAAAAATAAGTCATAGCTGCCTTCCTCCTGTGATGTTGTCAAAATGTCATGTTGTCTCATTTTTTCAGAGAAGTTAAATGACCTGGTGACCTGGTGACCTGGTGACCCCTTCAGTTCTTCAAAAATAAGTCATAACTGCCTTCCTCCTGTGATGTTGTCAAAATGTCATGTTGTCTCATTTTTTCAGAGAAGTTAAATGACCTGGTGACCTGGTGACCTGGTGACCCCTTCAGTTCTTCAAAAATAAGTCATAACTGCCTTCCTCCTGTGATGTTGTCAAAATGTCATGTTGTCTCATTTTTTCAGAGAAGTTAAATGACCTGGTGACCTGGTGACCTGGTGACCCCTTCAGTTCTTCAAAAATAATTAATTATTGAATAACCTGAAAACATTAACATTAACATAAACATTAACATAAACATTAACGTAACCATTAACGTAAACATTAACGATAAAATATATTTCTGCAGTTCATCCATTACTTCATTACCTAATTAATTACAGACATAAAATATATTTAGTTCATTCAATAAATGCGGTACCATGCGAATACAGTCATAAATGGTGGCATATAATCTTCACCCAAGCCTGTTGGATTTGTTGTGAAAGTATGTGAATGATTTCCTCCTGGTTCAGTTGGTCGAAAAGTCTTTTTTGCCGAATGGTTATAATCTGGAGATAAAACGTCATTGCCAGCATAATATTCTGAGTTGTATAATGGATGGTCTCTTAATGAGTGGCTATGGTCGCCAGAAAAGTTTGTAGTTCCCGTATGAGTGTGCGGTGGAAGGTTTGCTTCTTTAATTTTCTTCGAACCTCCTGTTTCCTTTGAAGAGTTTGCACAATACAAAAACCTGTCAACTATTTGTTCCCATGCACCAACACCAAACATTACTTGAGGACCTCTTGCATCCATAGATGTATAAATAGAACCTACTGGGTTCATTAAATCAAACATATGAGATATTATAGGATTGTCTCTTTTGAACTTAAAATATAGTGCAACTATTTCAGGTTTCTTCTGGTTTGTGTCAGAATATTTTTTATAATATAATCTTATGTTTTCAGGGTGGTAAAATCTTGACTATAATATTTATTTCTGTCATCTATATAATAATATACTATTCTCGTTTTTTCTATTGCATTATATCTTTTATATCTATAATAATCTAAATATAATGTTTGCTTTTGTTCATCTGCATGTAGTGTTCCTTCGTCATCTACATAGTCATAATAATATGGTGCTGGAGCTGGGTCAGGCAATGTCATATCTGCCATTTCATAAACTCTTAAATATTTCTTTTGTTCGTCTCCATATAAGTTTAAGTAGCAGTTGTTGTCTAATGGAACTTTAACTTGTGTCATCATTCTTTTTATAACTTACATACATTTCATTGTTATTTTTCGGAATGAGTTTCCACCGTATACCATTTTTTAAGGAGTGTACAAACTGCCATCTAAAATATTTATTTTCTTCATTGACAGAAAAGTCGCCAACAATAGTTTCAATATTTTTTGTTCCTATCAAACTTTGGTATATTTCGTTAACATATTCCTTATCTGCCTTCTTCCCTAACTCATCGTTAACATATTCCTTATCTGCCTTCTTCTCTAACTCATCGTTAACATATGTTTTATCTGCTTTAAGGTCTAAACATCCTGAAACCCATCCTGTATCAGCTTTAGTTTTTAAAATCTTTGATGTCCATTCATGATACCATTCAACCATTTCTTTAATTTCATTATCTTTTTCATCCACATATTCCTTATCTGTCCTCTTCTTTAACTCACTATCCACATATTCCTTATCTGCTTCTTCATTATGTCATTTAGGAAACCCTTTATGAATTCCTCATTTAAATTAAATCTTCCAATCTTCAAAACTTTAGGAAATGCATTTAATGCGTAATATCTCTGTTCTTCTGGTGGAATTGATGTTATATCATCCGTTATACCTTTAATTTTAGAATTCATAAATAAAATTTCTTTTATATTTGATATCACCGCACCACCTTTGCAAACGAATTCGAAATGGTCATTTTTCAATACTATCTCCAAATCTCCATATTTCAACCTTTGCGTTTGTTCTGCCGTCTTTGAATTATATGCATATATGGCGTATGTAATGGTCTGAGGGACCTGGGTGCTTTGTGCCTTAAGTTGTTGTGGTTGCTGTTGTTTAATCATTTATTATGATTTAAAAATAAATATTTAATCCGTTATCTCATCACCTATTTTTTCTATTTGAAATTGCCATAATATTTCATTCATGAATTCTAAATCACAATCAAATAGGTCAGTTACTCTAAATTTAATATTTGATAAATCTTTTGAATGAAGAATAAATGAATTCCCGGATAATTGAAACGGATATGATAAAGAAAATATGTTTAAGTTGATGGATAAAATGTTTTGTATTGATGGGTAAGAGTTAGGGTCTAATGTTTGATGTGAAAATCTCATTGGGGTATTAACTTTATCACATTTGATTAAAATGAAATTGGAACCAGTGTCAGAATACAAAACATCCCCAACATCTTTTTCAAAATTTAATATCCCCAACAATGAACGAAGATGAGGAGTACAAAATTTAATTTTCAGCGGAAATTTAATAAGGTTATTTATTTCATCAAGTTCAAAAAGTTTATCAGGTTTTGATTTAAAATTTTCTTCATACCATACGATAAATGATTCATTTAAATAACTTAAAATCATGTTAATATCCCATTTCGCTATCACATTATTTATATACATATCATACGTTTTTTCAAGGTCATCTTTAATAAATGATATATAATCTGAAGGGTCTAAAAGAATGGGATTAAATTTACCACTCACAGAAACGAGAGTAACATTATAAATTCCGCTAACTGTTAAATTTAATTCACAGCTATTATTCGAAATAATATTGATAATTGACATTTTTATTACGATTAAAAATATGGTAAAGCGTTATTTTCCAGTGATAAATAAAACTAGAATAAGATTACCTCAAGAATTCATAAATTCAACGAATAAGAAATTCATTCATGTTATAAATTTTAGTGTTTTCAGAAAATATGAGTCAATGTCATATTCATCATCGGGTTATATTTCACTTCATTCAAATTTAGTTCAATCAAACCCATATAATGACCATTTCATAAGATTTTCAGATGGTATTAAAAATGTAATTGATAGATTAAAATATGAACAGATTGACAATATCGAATTTTTGGAATTTTGGTTTAAATATCCTGATGGAAAAAAGATTGAAGTTAAAGATAAAGCTGATACTATAACAAAAACAATTACAATGACCGATCCAGATAGTGGGGAACAAAAAGAAATAAAACAAACGATAGAAACTGGTGAAAGGTCAATTATTATTGATTATGATTCAAAGGATTATTATTCAATAATGTTAATGCTTGAATATTAAATGGCCTTAACAAAGAATTTTTCAAGTGATATTTTATATTCATCAACTATTTTATTATAAATATCATTATATGTTAAATGAAGTTCAGTTGTTGTTCCGTTCTTTGATATCTTAATTGTGCTAATATCCTTTATAGGATTTATTTTTGCAACTGTTCCGCAGCATGAAACCTCATCATCTATGAAAAATTGAATCTTAACGTCTGAATCTTGAACATCACAAAGAATGGCGATAATGTGAATTAATGATTCATAAGGTAAAATAATTAAACCGGATTGATCAATTAAATTTATTATTGAATCATAATTATCAGTTATTATATCACGGTAAATTTTCATTAATTCAGAATTAATGTCTATTTTATATGGCGCATTGCGACTGGAATCGTAGATTCCTGGGTTCTCGATGTTTGATGAAAGAGGTGGGGGTATGTTGGATAAGTGGGAATTTCAACAGGTTCTTTACCGGGTTCAGATAAAATGATTGGGTCTCCATTCTCCTCATTCTTCGGTAAGTCACGAGTTAATAAATTTGGTTGAGTTGCTGACCTTGTTAATTCAGGCTAACATTAACTTTAACATTTTGAATAATTCGTGATTTATCATCATTTACGTTATAACCAACCGTAATCTCTGCTTTTGCGTTAGTGTTCTTTTGACTTGTGAAACGTCTTCTCATTTATAATTGAATAAAAAAAGAAAAATATATTTAAAGTTTTATTTAGTTGTTACGGTAATATCCCAAGGTTCATCATTGTTTGCTTATACTTTCTTTGTAACTGCACCAATTATGTTATTGATATTGCTTTGAGTTTCTTCCAGTCTTATTTTATCATTTACAATATCTTTAATCATTTCATTACATGCATTCTTAAAACCATCTGATTTTTCTAATTTACGTCTATCACTTTCTTTAATTAAATCAAAGTTATAACCTTGTTGAGAATAAAGTGGTTTCTTTATCAATTCCTTGAACGCTTCTGAAAGTGAAGATGAAGAAATTCTTGCCACTTGAATTGGTTTAAATTCTGCTTTCATTGCTTCTTTCTGTTCATTGAACACTGGATCGAATAAAGCAACTTTAAAGAATTTCTTAGCTGGAATTTCAGGTCTAATATTTGCATATTGACCATCAAACTGATTAACATATCGTGGTAATCCATCCGGTCCCTCTTCAATAGCATTTAATTCTTCATTGAAATAAGAATATGGATTATAACGGTATGAATTAATTGGACCATTTTCACCTTCTCCAATGTATTGTTTAACAGCTTTTCCATTTTCATCAAATTGCATAGGATAACGTTCATTATATGCTTTACGTTTAGGATAATCCGTCATTTTAATTTATACCATTTATGACTTTAATATTACCTTGACCATCAGTAACGAAAACTTCATTTATACCATCAGGTTTTCCATTTGGACCCGTAATGTCTGCTTCGTGTGCTTCCCAATTTGGACCATGACGTTTGGCATATGCTTGAGCTTCTGGTAATGTTAAAACGTTTCTCATTTGTTTAACATCTTTTGAAGACCAGCAACAATGTGGACTAATTCTTTCATTCCGTCTGGAACTTTCATAGTTCTATTATATGCACCCTTTTTTGTTTGTCCCTTGTTTTAATGGAACCTGTAGAAGATTTGCTATTTCTGTCATGTTTAATTATAAATAAAAAATAAAAATTAATTATAAAAAGTTAATCAAATTTAACACTCCTTTATTTAAATCAACTATTATTTTTCCATGTTCACCTAATTGCTGATATTGTGTGTAAAGTTCATTAATGCTCATTGGTAAATTCACTTGATAAAGCATAACGTTCAACTGTTGACGACTAAAACCACTGAAAATGAAAAGGGTGGACAGGTTTGATTTAATGTTTGTGCTTAATGCTTTGAAGTATTGAACAGCCATGAAGAATGAACACTGAATGTGTCGACATTGAGTTAATAATTGATTAAAATATGATTTCTCATTTGTTATTAGTTTTGATTTCACGGCATCATCTAGAAAAATTAGTGAATGCAAAAATTCTCTATCAAAATTTGAAATAGAAAGTGTTTCAAATAATTCATCCCGTTGTTTATCAATAATTTTATCCTCTAATCCTTGCTTCTTGATTGTATTATATAATTCTTTATACATTAAAAAGTTTTTTAAATAATCTTCTGCTTCTTCTTGTGATAAATAAATAATTGGAATTTTGATTAAATGCTTTAAAGATTCAAATGTATCATCTGAAGGTGAACCTGAACGGTTGATATAAATTAACACATGTGAATGGGGTGAAGTGTTAGCAATAATGATAATTTGTTTTAATATCGTTAATGTTTTACCTTTATTTTGTTTACCAATTGCTGCAGTGATTGAATTTAAGTAACATTCAGAATATGGAATTTTCATTAATTTTTCCTTAGATAGAGCATTTCTATTATCACTCAATGCTTCATTAATCATATCATCTACGTATGTATTATATACATCTGTTAATTCTTCAGAATTGAAATCCATTTAATCAAAAATAAATTTATAATTTTAAACATTTCTATTCATCAATATTTCATCATATGAACTTCTATACTGTGGTGGTGTACCTGTTGGATGATATTTCAAACCTTCATCCGGTGTCCATGTCCAATACGTAGTCCTAGTAAACCAAACCTGAGGAGGATTTGTCACTTTTGAACAGTAAGTGTCATTTTCACCTTGAATGATTGGATAAGCTTTCACTTGTACTGTAACTTGTGAATTGAAAGTTTCTAATCCATCAAAGAATATACCCGCTCCATCACGTTGAACTGGAATAGTGCATAAGAATGAAGTTTGGTCTTTCCATGTTCTAGCTAATGGCGTGCCATTATCATCATTCAGTGGTCTAGTTAATGAGTCCTCGTATTCTTCTGTGCATTCATTCACTCCATCTAAATCAGAAGCTTGAAGCATACGTGTAAAGAATATGTCGCCCACTGTGGTCATCGCTTGATCGGGGAAGTTTCTGGAATCTATAGTGACCTGAAGACCTCGAAGCATTGGATTTTCTAAAACCGTTCTTTGCATTGCATTCTTCGGAAATGCTAACACAACATCTGTAACATTATGAAGAGCGTATGAGAAATCTGAGCTAATACCTTCAGGAGTGATGCAACCTCCATTTAGTGAACGAACGTCAATATGTTGAGCTGGAATCATGAATGGATCTTCCTTACTAAATAAACGTGGTATTGCTTTAACTGATTCTTCAATTAAACCGTATCCTGGTGTAATACATTTATCCTCTAAAACTTCCATCTTTGTGCATGAAATAATAACGTCATCAAACTGTTGCGTCAGCAGATGTAGCGGCTAAGCTTGTAATTAATTTGGCAGGAAGTCCGATTTGTTGGAATTTGCGATCATATTTATAAACATGATTCATAATCTTTTCATAATTTTCATCAGTTATCTTTTCATAAACGTAATTTTGTAAATCAGCAACTCTTAACGGGTCAACCTGACAAAATACTAAAGTATCCCTGAAAACATAATATTTAAGAATGATTTCACCAAATGATTTAGGATAATCATCGAACGCCTGAAATGCTAACAAATCATTTACCGGAATAATCATATCAAAAGTGATATCAACTTCTTCATTTGCTTTCTTGAAAACTTCTGAAGGGTCAATATATTTACCACATACTGAGTTATCATATTTTTGAACATTATTATATAACGAATGAACAAACTTTTTAACTTTCCTTTCTGATTTTGGTTTATATGTTGCAAATGCGAAAGATTCACGGGCGCAATCCATTTGAAGATAACCAGCATCACCTCTTTCAGTTTCTACTTCTAATTGTTTAAAGTTTTGATTTGATGATTTGTAACCAACGAATAAACGCATACATTTAAAAGCGGCATCACATGTGAAAGCTTTATTTGAAACTAGAGTTGCTTTAACTTTGCGTTTAATATATGTGTCACCTAATTGGTTCACATCATGAGCCGGATTTGTAATTCTTAAATGAGTTTGTTTATCATCAAAATATGGAGTATCAGAGTCATAGCATGAACTTTCAAGTTCTCTATAATATCTTCTACCATCATTCTTTGCGAATATTTCATTTATCTTTTCGAATGAATGAAACACATTTCCATTAATTGGTTTAGTGTTTGGCACTAAATAATTAGTCGTCATTTATTAATAAATAAAAAATCAAAATTAAAAGATGAAAATGAATTTTTAATTTTAATGAAATAATCAACTATGGCTGCAGGTATATTTAAGAAACTGTGGGATAAAGTAAAAAGAGGAGCGAGTAAAGTTTGGGAAACATTGAAGAAGGGAGCAAATTGGATATTTAAGAATAAAGAAGCAATTAGTGACGTAGCTGAATCAATAACACCAAAAGCTGCCCCAATAAGAGAAATTTTAAATAAAGGAGAAAAAGTTTATCAAAGACTACAACCGATACTAAGATAAAAATAATATTTATTTTTTCCACTATCTACCTCCTATTTTATTAAGTATTCCTTCAGCAATTCCACCAATTGCGTTACCTGCTTGTGCTCCCATCGCCGGGTTACCTGCTTTAGTACCTAATACTCCACCTATGATAGTTCCTGCCGTTTTCGCTACTGGTGCCAAAAAGTTTGCAACAGGTTTAATAACCTTTTTATAAACCCAACCCGCAGCTTTCTTAATTCCATCCCATAATTTTTTAAAGAATCCTGCTGCCATTTCTGATTTAATATTAATTAAAAAATATATTTCATCACTTATATTCTAATTTTTATTTAATGATAAATGAAACCGATTTTAAAAATAAATGAAACAGAAGAGGAAGAAATAAATGAAAGTGGAAATGTTCAACAAAAAATAAACGTTGTTAAACCAATTACTGAAATAAAAATTTTTTCATCTGTTGAAGAATTTAATGACTATTATGCTAATAATAAAAAATTATTTGAAGAATTGACAACATGTAAATTGAATAAAATGTTTAAAGTTGATGGATTCAAAATTTCAAAAATAAAAGGGGTGATTAGTTTGAAATCTATTCCCCAATCAAGAATCACCTCATTAATGAAAATAGATGATTTAACAAAAAGAATAGAAATTATTGAAGAGCGAATAAATCAAATTATTGATTTCATAAATCATGACTCGTTGAGCCCGGGTCCTTAAAGCCCATCACTGAGTTCAAGGTTATATTCATCAAATATTTCATTATTAAATGCAACTTCTGCTAGTTTATTTATTTTTTCAATACGATCATTTGAAAGTCTATCGTTTAATTTTTTCTGAAGTTTTTCATTTTCTAGTTCTGAAACTTTATTTGGATGATATTTAAACCCGTTAAATTCTTTTTCCTCAGTTTTGATCATTAATTTACAAAGAACTTTTGTGGTTGGAATTCGTTTAAACCATTTATCATTAATATTATGATAAATTCAATATTCGGAATTAATTCCCAAATTTTTGCATTTTCAATTAATTTATTATCAAATGCAAAAGCAATAGGTTTAATATTAAACTTACCTTTATAATATAAACTTTCTACATAATCATCGAAATAAACATCTACTTGTTTAACATTTTCAAGAATTGGTGAAAGAGCATCCATTAATTGATTGACGGTTACGAATCTTGATCCACTCATTTTCTTACGAATTAAAAAAATAAAAAAATAAATTTAACTTAGTTTTAATTTTACGTAAGAAGTTAATTTTTTAAATCTTGATTTATTCAAAAACGTAAGAATAAAAAACCGTAAGAATCATACATTTTTTACTTCATATGTTAAAAAAAATGATACAAAATCGTTCAATATTGTATGAATTCTTACGTTTACAAAAAAAGTCACACAACCCGCTTCATATACTACTTGTAGTTATCTTTATTTCTTTATTTAATGCAAGTGGATATGAACATTCTGAATTAAAACAAATCGTCACGCAGATCAAAGCATATAAAAATATCTCATATAAAATGTATGCAAAGATATTATTGCAGTTTCCATGAAATACAATTACAAATTTCAAATATGTAGCATGTGTAGAAGCTAAACCTTCGATTAAACATGGATCTTTGACATAGCCTCCGTTAAAAATTTTGCATGAATGATGCATTATTGAACTCAATTCGTGCAAAACTTCAATTTGAGCACAAGGCTGTCTTTTCTTTAGGCCCTGTAAAAGACAATAGTCTATCAGTTTTCAAGAAATTACGTGTTGTTGCTATTACGGAATACGGATATGAGGTATATAGTAAAACAAATGGCGAGTTAAAGAAGATTTTTACATGGTCATCACTGAATAGTATTGCTTTCCAAGGAAATATCGCTAGGTTTGTGTTCGACAAAAAGAAAATCACATCTGAATTACCAGATGGACGTCTTATTAACGGAATTATAGGACATATTTTCCGTCAAACAATCCCATCCATCAGATATAAGCAATTTGGATTAGATACATATGGTTTCCACAAGATTAAAGGTTCAAATTACGGAGCTTTTGTTAGAATGAAACAACTTCTAATAGATAAAAGCATAACTGTTACCCCACATGTTACAAAAGCGTTTGAGTTTTTCCTTAGATTTTCTCCACTCAAATTTAATTATTCTGAATTACCTGAATACAGACGTCTCTCAGAAGTATTCTTCGGAATTCTACCTCTTATACAATCCCTTCAACATTTAACTATTCCAGTTCTCGAAACATGCGAAGAATTAGCAAATAATCCATCATCAATTTCTAAATTACGTTCGCTAGAGTTTTTCGGACGAAAAGAACCACGTCTTATGGAATTTTTACAGAACTACAAACCACCAGAGAAATCAAACCTCTGCGCAATTATTTTTTCACACTCAGAATTTGATCCAGAAGATATCGACAAAATCCAAAAATTTATTGACGTAAACGAAGTGATATCGCTAAATATACACAATGCTCTTGATTACAGTGCAGAGCAAATGCTTTATTCCCACATTTTGACGCCAAAAATTTGTAATCGTTTAGAAATTTTAAACCTTGACAAAACAAGGAATGTTGACTTACAGAAAGTAATTGACTTAGCATCCAATGTCACTTTGCTATCTCTTGCTGGCTGTAATCTCCAAATTGCGGACGCTTTGGCGCGAATTTCGAAATCGAGATTTCCAAAATTAAGATTTTTAAATTTGTCAGAAAACTCTGCCAGTTTCAGTCCTGATCCCAATACAATTATCATTCCGCAGCTGTATTCACTCATGCTCAATGATATAGAGTGGATGGGAACGAGTTTACCTGATACTTTGAATGTGATTTTCAAGCGAGGATTAGAACCATTTAAACTTTCGATTGCCAGAGCAAAAGCGTCTGGAGAATCATGGCAAACTGTATTTAGGATATTCGCAACAACTAATTACAGGTCTCTTACAGCTTTCACATGGGATGGCAATCCAATACACAAAGCGATTTTTTCTTTTTTGCATGGAAATTCATTTTTGGATTATTTGTCACTTTCTGATTGTTTTCATCATGAAATTAAAGATTCTGTCAATGATTTATGTAATTTCATTGACTCAACGATCTCCTTGAAGTTCCTAACAATTCGTGGAACGGACAGACATCATTTAGGAGCATTAGCAGGACATTTACTTCGATGTATAAGTAGATCTCCATCAATTTTGCACTTGGACATTTCGAACAACCAAATTGGAGATACAGGAATATCTGCATTGAGAACTTTATTGAATACTAATAGAACAATCAAAGTATTAGTAATAGATGGAAGTAATCCTGACAACGGACAACAATTCATTGAAACTTTGAACTTTGCTTCTCTTCAATTCCCAAGATTGTCATTGTCTTATCCAATAAATGATGTTAACTATTTGTTGGAGAACTCAAGGATTTCGGAAGAACAATACAACAATCTTTTGAACAATTTCAAGAGAAAGCCAACTTTGAAACAATCAAAAAGAGGTTGTTTGTTCGAAACTCCTGAAAAATCTCCTTTCATGGAGCCATTTTACGTGTTTAGACATGTTCCACAGGATCCATTCCCTATTGTTTTATCTGAAGAACAACTCAAAGCTGTTCAGAATCCTCCTGAACTGCCGCCTCTTCCTCCAAGGCCACAAATGCAAAGAAGAGCAGAGTCAGTAAAAAGAATGCCATTGAACAGACCCTCCCAAATCAATACAAGTCATAGACCACCGATATCTCCAAAGTTCCAAAGAATGGGAAGCTCACAAAGCTTCCAACCACCTCAGAGGCAACCTGCTTCTCCTGTTGCAAGTCCAACAAGTTCTCCGAAACAAAAGATTGAAGTTCCTTTCTTCTTGAAAGACTTGGAAAACCAAATTGGTGGTTTAGGAGCCTTCGATTCCGAAAGCACTGTTTCTGAAACAATAATTGATGATTATACAAATAAAATAACAGTTTCATTTGGAAAACCAACTAAAAGCCAACCACAAAAGAGACAAAAACAACCTCAAATTGATGAATATTCGGATGAAGATGAAACTAAAACTCTTGAAGAACAACAAGTTGAAATCACTTTCAATAAACCACAAAAGAAATCTCCTGTTAAACAGATTGATGAATATTCCGATGAAGATGAAACGAAAACCCTTGAAGAACAGCAAGTTGAACTTGTTTTTAATAAACCACAAAGAAAATCTCCACCAAAAGCTGAAGATTATTCTCCTGATGAAGATCTTCCTCCTTCTCCACAATCGGTCAGAAAACGATTGCAAAGAAATCCAATTACAGATGCAAAACAAAAAGTATTTGATGATTATTCAGAAGAGAAAGAAGAACAACCTAAAGTTCAGATACCTCAGAGAAAACAACCTCAACTTGACCAATATTCTGATGAAGAACCTGTTCAACAAGTTCCACAGAGAAGACAACAAATTGATGAGTATTCTGATGAAGAGCAAGTTCAACAAAGAAGGCAGCAAACATCTCAAAGAAGATCTCCTGTTGAACAGCAAAGACAAAGGAAACAACAACCAGTTGATGATGATTATGATGATGTAATTCCTAAAGCTAAAATCATTCCACAAAGACAACCAAACAGTGCAAGAGGCCCTCAATCACAAAGAATCCAAATTAAACCACAACTTGATGAATATTCCGATGAAGATATTGAACAGCCAAAGCCACAAATTCAACCAAAACCACAAAGTACGAGACCAAGTTGGCTTGATTTAGAAGCATCACAACAGAACTCTCCTCCAAAGGCAAGAATTGGCTCGAGATTAAATCAACAAAGGCCTCAACAACCTCCGCAAACAGCAAGGCCAAGACCAGTCCAGAGAAAACAAATGAACTTAGATGAATACTCTGATGAAGAAGAGCCACCAAAGCCTCAACCTCAGCCAATAATGAAGAGAAGGAGAAGGAATCCAAGTAATGTTGACAACTCTAATATTCCTGTTGTCCATATTGCTCAACAAAGTACCAAATTACCCGAAGAAAAAGACAATTTTCCTCCATCTCCTGTCAAAAGAAGGAGAGTTTCGAGTGTCCAAAAAGCACAATCTGCAGTTGGAAACAAAGCTGAGATAATGCAGAGAAACCAACAAATCGGAGTTCCTCAAGAACAGCCTCAGCAACAACAACATCGTCATAGAGTCCATAGAAATACAGCTCAATCAGCTGTTGGAAACAAAAATGAACTTTTACAAAGAAACCAACAAGTTGGAGTTCCTCCAGAAGAACAAGTTCCAAGAAGAAGAAAACACAAATCAACTGTTGGAGATCCAAATGAAATTTTGCAAAGAAATCAACAAGTAATTCAAGTTGAACCAGAACAAGTTCCAAGGAGAAGAAAACATAAATCAACTGTTGGAGATCCAAATGAAATTTTGCAAAGAAATCAACAAGTAATTCAAGTTGAACCAGAACAAGTTCCAAGGAGAAGAAAACATAAATCAACTGTTGGTGATGCAAATGAAATTTTGCAAAGAAACCAACAAGTAATTCGAGTTGAACCAGAACAACAAGTTCTGAGAAAGAGAAAACGAAAATCAGTTGTTGGAGATGAAAAAGAAATTATAAAGAGAAATGATGAAATAATGAAAGAAAGCGTTCAGCCATTTAGGAGAAGAAGGAAATCAAGTGTTGCTAATCAGAATGACATCGCACAAAGAAACCAAGAAATGAATATTCAACCTGAAATCAAACAACACAGAAGAAAAGTAATGGCCCAATCAGCTGTTGGAGATAGAAATGAAATAGCAAAAAGAAATGACCAGATACTTAATCAGGAAGTACCTCAAGCAGAACCACTAAGAAAGAGGAAGAGAGTTAAATCTGCTGTTGGTGACAAAGCAGAAATTCAGCAAAGAAATAAAAATGCTGAAATTTTACCAGAAAATCCTCCAAAAAGACAAGAAACTCCTCGCAGAAGAAGAGTAGTAAATCAAATTGCTCCTGTAGAACAACCTGCTGCACATAGGCGTCCAAAGGTTGTTAAAGCTTCTGCTTTTATGGAAGGAAGTGATTCATATGATTGAATCATTCTTTTTTTTTAGAAAATTGCGATTTTTATACAAAATTGTAAATGATAAAAAAAGTATTTTTGTTTGTTTTACATTTAACCAATTATTTTTAGTCAATAACTAGTAATTCATAAGGATAGATTAATAAGCAAGTTCAGTATTAATCAAGGCATTGGGTGAAACTGTCATTCATTTTGATGAGTTAAATTACTGTTATAGAAAAAATTGCCAAACCTTTCATTCTGTAGAGATAGATAATTTTCACATGGGGCAGATATCATTTTTAGAGATAAATATCACAAAGAAGTTACGGTCTATTTTGTCTATATCTCTGAATAAGATAAAATATGAAAATGCATTCCTTTAATGAATTTGCTGTAAACATGAAGGAGTTGATTTTTTAAAGAAATAATGTAAAAGTTCGAATTAAAATAAAGATGTTTATAATAATGATAAACACAATAACAAAAAAATAAAAAAAATAAATATATTTCTAATATATTGCTGAGTTACTTGGCAAGAGCTGCTGTGAATGCTGCTTGTTGTGCTTTCGGACAAGGATTCTTTGGACTTGTATCGTAAGTGTACCAAAGGAAATAGTCCTGTTGTGTTGTAGTCCAGTTTGGAACTGTAGACTTGAGCTGGAGATGTGACTTCTGAAGAGCATTGTCTTGTCTTGTTGCTTGGTCGCATCTTGACGGTGGTTTGAAAGATTCTTTCATGTTTGACTCCTTGACAACGAAACGGTCTTCCTGAGGAACAACATTGTGTCCTCCCTTCAACGCGTCGCATGACGGAGGTGGTCTGAAGTCTGGTTGTGGAAGATATGTAACTTGATATGTTGTCTTTCCTGTATTTGCGGCGGTTCCTGTATCTGTCTTGGAGTGGTGAGCTGTATGGAAGGCGCGCATTGCATTTGCATCGACTCTGTCCATTGTTCTGCCAGGATTCTTGAAAGTATCGCTGTAAAGTGAACGATTTTCATTAATTCCTGTGTAGCCAATGTTGCAATGGCTCTGCTGAAGACCCATATTAGCTGGTCTGGCTGGCTCGGCTTTCTTAGCTGGATAATCATCTCTCATAGTTGTAGACATCTTTCCATCGTAGTTGCGGAAGTCACAATGAGATACGAAAGCAGTTCTCTCAGCTGGTGGAGGTGGTTTGTACTCTGGATGAGGAACAATTGATTCTTGAGTAACGGATTTGCTGGCCATTGGGAGATTTGGAGTTCCTTGACCAACATTTGATCTTGTGAGCTGGGCACGGCGTATTCTTGCAAGCTGTGGATCGACGGCTGTTTGGATATCTCGAGATTTAACGAATCCATCTTGCGTTGTTGTTGTATAAGAAGTAGGCAGTTCGCCAAGTTTCACACTTGTGCGTTGATTTGCTTGGGTCATGCCCTGGTCAAAGACGATATTTCCTCTATCGACATAAACAGCGGTAGAAGAAGCTGTTTGAACTCTATGACCCGACCAATCCTTGTACGTATCCTTGTTCAAAGAGTTTGGAGTACCAAATGCTCCAAGCTGCTCGAAATTAGATTTAGTGCCAAGTCCTCTATTGAGTTCATGGTTGATTGGTGCGGCAGGGGCAGCAGAATTTGGTCTGTATGAGGCTCTATTGGTTGTTTCCCACTTTGGAGCGCTGGTTGTTGATAAATCGAAGTGAGTTGCGGTAAACTGTTCGCGATAGTTTTCTCGTTTTGGAATTCCTTCGTGATATTCACGCTGTACAACTCTTTCGGGGAAAGGTTCGTTATTGTTTCCTAGTGAGAATGTTGTTTTCATCATTTCATCTCGCGTATATGCTGGGTCTCGTTTACAAGATGTGTTAAATTGACGGTATTTATCGACATATTCAGAATCTTTTGTCGTAGGAATGTTACCATTCGTCCAGTGCGTCTTCTGTAGCATGACAGTGTCGATCTTCTGTTGAGAAGTGTCTGCAGTTTGAGGTCTCATCGCTGCACTGTATGTAGTTTCCCAAGATAAGTTACGGCGGTCGCCAATTTGAATCTTTGAGCGCTGAAGCTCAAGATAATTATGGCATGGATACTCGGGAAAGTGCACGAACATACCATTCCCAGTCATCTTTTATTATTTTTTAGCATAACGTATAAATAATCGTTTTTATTTTCTAACCTGGATTTTGAAGTTTGTTATGATTCTAAATATATTTTAAAATGCTCAACGTCAACTATGTCGCATATTACTAATTTGAGTCATTTTGTAAATCAGAATTGAGCATAATAACGGATTTCCTCTCAAATAAATAACACAAAGGACTATCACATTGAAAACTGAGATATTTCTGATTCGTATGTATTGCTATATGACATATACTAGCATAAACTCATTATATTTTTTGAAAAAATTCCTATATTGAAGATCTGAATTGTTGGCTTTGTTCCTCATCTGAGGTACTTGTACAGATGTTGGATCCCAGAATAGGAACAAAGTCTTCAAAGACTCTCTCAAGTAGTCTTTGAAGACTTTCTTTTTCAATCAGATATTGATTGAAGACTTAGTTTCTCATCTGAAGTACTTGTACAGATTTTGTATCCCAAGGTACTGATAAAGGAATGAGTTTGAACAAAAAAAACGGCATATTAGCAAAAATACCTTTTTTTTACATTCTAGTTTTTTATCCAAATTTTCTAAGGTAATAAGTCATTAACTTTGTTCGGGAAGAAACAGTCATATGAGGTACTAGGTAGTGAATTATAATAACTCTTTCCCAATCAAAAATATTAACTCTTTTATCATAGAAAATTAGGATATAAAGTAGGTGTCAAAAAAATTGGAAAAATGCACTTACCACAATCTAACATGCTCTTTAAAAATCAATATACCTTTATTTTAACAGCAGAAACGTATAACACCCATATTAGGCACTATATAATGATTAATAGTTACTTTCTCCTGACCAAAAATATTAACTTTTGATCTTGAGAAAGCTTGTGTGTCAAAAAAAAAATTAAAAGAATGTCAGAAATAATATAAAAACAAAATTTATTAATATATAAATTCTTATTTCCTTGCATTATTAGCGTGATGTTCAAGGACATCTCTGAGTGTTGGAATATTTTTTGGAGGATCTTTAATAACATCAATCGACTTTTTCATATTAAAGATCAAGAACCTGATGACGACAGCTTTTGTGTCTCGTAAAGTGTGGTTCCAGCCGTTATCTGCCAAATCTGGAACATTTGCAACTTCACAAAGAGCAATTAAGTTTAAATTGGTTCCAAAAGCAGATCTCGTATAACGATTCTTTCCTTCTCTTACGTAACCCAATGAATCTCCAGAATTTCTTGCAAGATATATTCCTGGTCCGTAACATGCAGCGTTTGCCATTCCTGGAGTGTTAGACATGTTCTGTAGACCATTCCTGAATATTGAATGCCATCTGTTATGTAAACTTCCATGCCAAAACCATAGACTATTATATTTCGAACGTAATTCTCTAAAATCGTTCTCTTTTTGTGGTGTATTCGCAATAACCATGAATATCTTTGTATCTTGGGATAGGTATTCTGGAAGTGTGAGCTCATCATCCAGTGAAATAAATTGAGATCTGTTCGTCATCAAGACCCAGCGCAGTAGAGTGAACGCGTCAGTGCCAATAGATTTCTCTAGTTCAGAGTCTGACTTGTAGTTTGCGATTATTTCGGACATTCGTGGAATTTTTTCGATTAATTCGATCATTTGTGGTTGGTTGAACATCGTTGGGGCTGGTTTCATATAAGGAGTGCCGATCGAGCAGCAGAACATTGAAAAAACAAGGTCTGCAGCTAATGGATCCCTTTTGATTTCATTATATAAACTGCATCCGACTCCAAGTTCGACGTAGGTGTAATTGCAGAGCTGATCATCGCATGGCATTGGTTTGACACCTGTATCCGTCGACAGTTTTCGACAAATACAGCAATGATCTGGTAAATCAAGAAATACTTCGACGATTTCAAGAACTAAGTACAAAAGTGGACAATCTGAATACGGTATGGCAATATCTGTTTTTGCGACCGGTAATTGTCCGGTTTTAAGGAAGTCTAACGCTTTCATATAATCATTATTATATAATGTAAGCGCGTGTTCGGCACGATCGCCATCGTAACCTTCGTCACGAAGTTTTTTAAGTAATTTCATATCACATTTTCCTGGTGGAGATAGAAGATAAGCAGCTGATTTGTAAAAACTACGTGGTTTATACAATGTAGAGAAAAATTCTGCTATGACTTCGTTTACAATTGGTCTCCCAACATAAGTCTTACCAAGTACTGGGTGAAAATAGTTAATTGTATCTGGTTTATGAGTAAACGAAAAATTTGAGAGTCCAATTTCTAATTGTAAGAGAGTACTGCAATCTGCAAATCCGTACACAACTTGAGATGACAATGGAAGATATTCTGACAAAATTGACAAACGAATTTTTCCATAATCATCAAGTTCTGCTGGATTTGTGTACATAAAAGCATTGTATGTATTAACGACTGATCTAAGATATGTGAATCCTGCTATTTCATTAGATGTGAGTTGATTTGAATCTTCTCTTGATAATTGAAAACCCATAGTTGAATCATCAGAGCCCAATACAGTTTCTTCTAAATTAGAATCTATATCTGAACCATCCGAAATGCCATCCTCATCACTCATTGTTTTTTGACACTTTTTTTCTTTTCCAAATTGGAAAAAACAACAAAATCTTGACATTCACAATTTCAAAACTGAACTCTGACTATTAACATATTATATATGTGATGACAACAGTGCCAATACAAGGAAGATTAAGACAGGAAATCTCATTTATTTTTATTAATTCGATATTAAAGGACCAATGAGAGTTCTGTTTCTTATTATTCATTCTAATAGAAGGAAACTACATTTCCAATATGCATGCACTCTTGAACTTATCAAGATGACAATATGTTATAAATCTTGTGCAATAAGAGAAAAAAAACTATCACAATGTGTCACTATCTCTAATTCTTGTTAAAATGTGGATTATCTTGAACTAAAAACAAAGATTAATTCTAATTTTCTGAAAATACTAGAGTGAATGAAAATATATCACGCTAAATTGGTTTGAAATAAATATCTCGATGAATTTATTCTCTAAAATAGTAATAAAAATACAAATATAAACAAAAGTTCGTTCTTACTTCGATAAGATAATTGACATGGATAAACCAAATGCAAGAAGCGAGTTAAATGGTTTTCCGACTTTAACATTGAACTGGCTGTCGGCAACTTTGTAAATTTGGAACATTAAGTTTCCATCTTTATCTGTAAGCTTAAAGTTCTTAACACTCTTTGTAACGACATCACTTTCAAAGTCATCTGTCTCGCTTTGTGTTGATTCAAAGTAATCGAGGAAATCTTCTGTTTTTTCTTTAGCTTGTCTGGACAAATTCAATCTCTTTGATATTGGGAAGAATGGCTGACCATTTTTAGGAACAACAATATGAACAGTTCTTTGTTTTGGTTTTCCATCCAAATAAACTCCCATAATTTCGCCATCTCTATCATCATTTGGCTTCTCAACGTTTGATATAAGAGTAAACCTAGTACTATTTTCATGAACACGTAAAAATCCTTGATAATTCGGTAAAGTTTTTTCGAAAGTTGGTTTTAAGCATATCATGTGGTATTTGCCAATCTTATCGCCAGACATTTCTGATACAAGTACATTTCTATCATTTTGAATCATGTTAAATTTGGGACCACCAAATTTCTTAGTTCTAATAATAATAAAGTCACTAATTCCTTCTGGCATTGGTGGAGGAACATATCCTGTAGAAGAGCTAAGAGTAGTAGCAGGGACAGTCGATTTATTTTCGTTTTGAGTTGGTTGTCTTGGTTTTCTTCTAACTTGGATTTCCTGAGCACCTTCAGAATCCTCGGACTCTGACTCTTCTGGTAATTCTAACTTTGGCTTTGCTTTAGGTGGAGGAGGTTTGACTTCAGGTTCTTCTTCTGGTTCTTCTGCTTGCTGAGATACTTTCCTTACGCGTTTTACTCTCTTTCTGCCGTTATGTGGTGGAGATGGAGCTTCCTCTTTCTTTGGTTCTTCAACTTCCTTATTTACTTTGTTATCTCTTGGTGGAGAAGCGCCCCAGTTGACATCGCCACCTACTGGTTCGGCGTTATCGCTTTCAGTAGATGACTCTGAAGATGGAACTTCGATAAAATCTGGTGTTTTTGTTCTTGTTGTGATTGTTTGTACTTCACCTGATGAATCAGTATCTGAAGAATCCATTTCTTTAACTAATGTGAATGGTGTTCCGCGTGTTGATCGAGTTGGTCTGCTTTCATTTCTTGGTGGAGAATTAAATCTTGTTCTTCTGTTACGATTTTGCTGAGGTGATTGGGTTGTTGACTCACCATGAGAATTGCCAGTACGCCTGGTTCGAATATTACGATTGTTAAAGTTCACAGCTGGTATAGACATGAAAACAAAATATGTACGTTTTGGAATTTTAGGTCCAATAGATTTTATACAAAATTATCTATGGTCTTGATCTTCAGGACATTTTATTAACAATTCTCTGTACAATAGGATGTTTGGTCACTAAATTTTTTCACCAAACGAAAAACTTGTTGCTTTTATCTTTCGATTTTCTAGATTTGTTCAACCTATTGGATGACCAATCCAAATTATGTTTCAATTTGATTTGGATTTTTCAAAAAATTGATCGATATTCAAAAAATGAAAAACAAAATTGTATTTTTTGAATTACTTTTTTGGGAAATCGAAATATTTTGGAAAGATTTTGTTCAATTCTAATCTGTAAAATGTTTTAATTTTAGATGAACATTCTAATTATACTCGAAAATTTGATATTCGAATTCGAGGGATCTAAATGTTAAAATTTGTCACTTTTTAGGATTTCAAAATATGATTTTTCTTTTATTTATTGCTTTAACATCATCAAAAGTCCCTATAATGACAGAAGCAGAAATAATTAGCGAAGTTAAAGGCTTGCCGAGACGTGAAGGGTATTATGCTCTATATATTCAATATGAATTTGAAGATTTACCTTTAGTTTTCTTGTCTTTCAAGCTAATGCTTTATGGTCTTCAATTAATATGGTTAAACAATCCTCGTTTTTGCGTAGTAATTGATCCAAGCATTGATGAACCATATATGAAAATGTATCCTTCAGGTGCTAAGGCTTCAAAATACCCGATTATGCAAATAAACGAGATGAAGCACGGTTGGGGATCACAGGATTACGGCGCAGTTCAATATTATTCTCATATGTATCGTGCCCAAAAAGATTTTATGGATATTAAGAAACTAATATACAATAAAACAACTAAAGGAAAGACTTCAGGCATCAAAAGGGATCTGAAATCATTAGAAACAGAAAAAGAAAAAATAATTAATAACACTAACCACATTTATAGCAACTTATTTGAATTGCGTAAGATTCAGAGAAACTTAGTTAAGGAAAACATTCTCGAATATGGAGCTCCATCGATGAAAACTCGTTTTTCATATCTCTTTAAGAATCAAGATGAAAACGCGGCATCTACATAGAGCAATGCATCCCAATTGATCAAACGATTTATTTACATAATGAAATGGTCTATCAATCCTCCGAAATTTAAGGATCAATTTTAAACAAAAGATTGAGTATTCAAACCAACGGAAGCAATTCAAAATATACGGATTAAGATGCTTTCCATCTATTCTCTACGGCACGAGTTAATTCCATTTTTTTTTTATCAAATTGACATTTTTTTGTTAAAATGTCTAAAAAACTTCATTTAGTAAAAAGTCTTTTACAACGAATTACTTTTAATGATTTTTTAATCAACAATTGAGAATTCGAGGGAATGTTATATAAGTAGAAAGATGACTGGAATGCATTTCAATATTTTTCACTAAGATATCTGAAATGATAATGTCATTAGATCCTCGAGAGAGTAATAAATTGAATTCAATCATGAAATCATAAATCTTCTTATGGAGACCTTGAAATAGGTCTCCAATTTGTATTTAGGATTATGCAATAGGAAGTTACGGTTAAAAACAGTTTTCATTTTGAATATTGTTATCTTTTTCCTTCTGTCTTTAAAATTAGAGTCTTATCTAAACAAATATTTCGTGAGAGTATTATTAATCAATATCCAGTTGATAAACTTGTGTTCTCCATATTATGGTTTTTTAAATTCACATTTTATTATTTTGATCTTAATTTAATAACCATGACTTGTAATTTATATGAAATTTCTTCAAATAATCAATTTCAAGCGTTGAAGATTAGTCCAAACCCATACGGAATTGATTCTGGGAAAGAAAACGAACAAAATTCGCTTCTGTTTTTGAAATTCCTATATATATTCGATACACAGTTAATATTACATATGCGAAATCAAAATTAAAAATTCGATGAAACCGCCAATCAAAATAAAATTAATGCAATTCTAATTATTCCTGTTCTCAGAACAATATTTTTTCCCAAGATGAAGGTGCTTATCAAATTATTTCTTGAATTTTATTTTTGAGAGGTAGGGCAACGATAGGTCAAAAAGGCTTCTCTGATAGATTTCCTTGCCTTTTGGATATGCTATAATATATAGCCTAGCATGATAGGATATGATGTCAAAAGTTAGAACATAACTTAGGATCTTGAGAAAAATGAAAAACAAAAATTACATAAAAAAGAAAAATTTTATCTAATTTGTTTTTTTGGACCGAATAAGTAATTTTATTGAATTTCAATACGACACATAGATTTTATTATTAGTAATAAATATAATGGTTTACTATTAACAAGGAACCTAAACTAATGAAAATTTGATTTCAAATATTGTATATGATTATCATAGATTACCAAAATATATTGCTATTTATGAGGATATAATATTGATTATTAGTAAATCGTATAAATTTAATAAATATACCATGAATATTGAATGAATTTCTTGATTCATAGGGGTAAAACGCGCTTTTATATGATTTAGACAGAGAATTTATGAGATGTAAATAACACAATAAAGGTTTATATTGAATATTTTCTAAAAATAAATCGAAATTATAAAAAACAATACATTTATTCATTGAAACTACTTGGACAAATATGAAACAAGCATTCAGGCAATACTTTTGAGACTTCAACGCATCTGATAATTTTTATATAACTTCACCTCTTATGCTTAGAGTGGAGGTATTGAGATCGTATAAGTATAGATGAGCTCACATTCAGATATGATGTGTGAACTTCTGTTTTCACTGCAATTTTGAATCAGAATAAACTCAAAACAAGAATAAAATGATATACTCACTCTCTAAATGTGTTCGAGATCTAAAGTTGTATGAATAAAACGATTCATCTTTCGAAGCCTCCCATTTAATGAGAGACTTCGAAAGATGAATGTATTCATGTAGATGAAATACTATATATGACCATGTGTGATACTAAAGATATCAAAATGTTCATTTTTAAGTGCAATAGAAGGGTTATCTCTCGTAAAATCTCAATTTAAGGAAGATTTAGAAAGAACTACTTTCCTAAGTAGATAGTGTGTGGTTTCTGTCTTTTGGTTGATCAGGAACTATGAAATTAAGTCGGACAGAAAGAAGTTCTTTCCAAAACAGACTCCAAATGAGTTGTTCGAAAAGAACTTCCTTCTGTATATGGATAATTGTAGTTACCACACTGAAGTATGTGATTGTGATGATGGAGTTCTCGATAAATCTAAAATCGGATTAAGATTAATTGAAAACTCAAGTAATTCTTTGAAATCTTGTGTTGTCTGGCACTATAATAACCAAAGAATGAGAATATTATGTTGAATGATGAGTACGTGTGCTCGGCATTCGCCGAGCGAATTGAGTTTAACGTACTATGAAAAGTGACAAATTTGGGCTTTTTTTCCTAGGGTTATGATCTCTTCCTTTCTGCTCAATACGACAGAAATGAAAGAATGAATTTGTACTCCCTAATTGATTACTACAATCTGTATCTATCTTTAACATAGAATTAGCTGCATTGTGATTTATACTCCAGAATTATTCAATTTAAGATCAACCTCGTAAATTTTAATCATATTGCACCAATACTCCTACGTTGAGATAAGAACATGATTATACATACCAAAGCCCCATATTAAAAATCAAAATTTAGCACCTCCATTATGCAACCACATTATTCGTCGCAAATAAGTATATTTACGCATATTATGATGCATATTCACACAACTCGTATACATGAAAAGTTATTAAAATCAGACAAAATTATTGCAATAAGGAAAAAAAACAACTTTATTATATATGTTAGTAATGAATTACAAATATTTCTACAAAGAATGCTCAATACTTCATATAATCTTCGAATATTTCTTATTACAAGTTAATACATTTTGACTCGAACATGATAAACAAAAGCGACACGCTGATTACTACATTTATGAAAATATAGTACGTTTCCATTCATCTGTTTACTTGTTTTTGTTGGAATAAAATCATTTTTTTTTTCTTTCATGAAATAAGAATTTTGCTGCGAAAGCAATATCTCTAACAATAATTAATACATTACGTCAACTCTGGAATGAGTATTTATCAAATATGATATCAAAATCAAAAATTAGTTGTTTTTTATGAGTAAAAACGATGTAAATTGATTATTTGACTAATTATCAAATACTTTGATTTTCCAAATTTTTTTCGAAATTGATTTTTTCATGTGAAAATTCAAATTGTTTAATTTCATTTTTGAAATTTTGAATTTTTTTTGGAATTTTGAGTTGATCAATTCAGCAGAATTGATAATGCTATTGCTTTAGGGCATACCACAAGGTGATGAATAAAAGGTGAACATTAACAAATTATTTTAAATCACAAATATCATCCTCATCAACTTTAATTCTAAAAAGAACTGTACTGAATTATGAAAATGCATGATTTACATTATTAAAATCTTTGAATGAAAATAGTACAAGATAAGTTTTTATTCATTTTTAATTAGATTTAAACGAAAAACTACTCCATATTAAAATTTAAGTCGAGAAATCGTATTTTGTTCTTATTTGTTAGCATTTTGTAGACATTCTAATCTTGAATTAATTTGTTACATGATATTATTAACAAATTTAACTGAAAAAATATGTTAATATGGAATAAACCATGATTATATAAGCTATCAATGCTATATATACATATGTAAAAGATTCATATTAACTCAATTAACAAAAATGATAGATTTTCATAAAGGTTCAATCTAGGTTCGTCCGAAAATTTTGATTTTTATATAGAAGACATAGTTTCATATACATAATTAAATTTTCAAACAAATTTGATCATACCATTTATTAAGCAGGATAGTATATTAATTACTATCAGTATAAAAATATAAAAATGATTATATTTAATTATTGCATAATTTAGTCAAAGAGTTATAAGCCTCAAGTGATCGTTATCACCTTCAATGCACGTATACTTTATTGATTCATAGATATTTAATCTATGTTTGACATGTTGTTGTCGTCATTCGTTTTGTTCCCATTCTTCCTAAGTTAGAATTAGAGAATACACCATCCACATCATCTAATTTGGTCCTCAGCGATAGATTGGTTCATTTTGGAGGAGTCCCATCAGACAGTTTTCGAGCACCAAATATCAAATTTTAATGTATACAAATCTTTAGTGATTTATCTCTTTTATGATGAGTAAAAGGTTTCTGCTCATCAACATTTGATTTCCGACATATATGATTTCTAATTGCAATTATTTACTTTCTTTTTATAATCTAACTCTGTGACTCATACCATAAATTAATTATTGGAAAGTGTCAATATGTTTGGCACAACGCATGGCGGAAGATACCAAACCATGCAGGGAATATGATACGTTTAAGATCTCCGAACTTTTTTTCCAAAAATTTTCTATCGTTGCCCTACCTCTTATTTTTGACAGCATTTCAAATGATTAACCGAGTCTCAAGAGAACAGATATATTTTTGTTATCAAACATTTCTGAAATAATTTTATTTTTTGTTTGAAATAGAACTCAATAAAAAGTGACAATTAGGCATATATTCCAATGACAACCCCGCAACCAAAACCCGGGGATAAAAAAATAATTCATTTTTACAGACTCATTAAAATAGAAAACATTATATATTCATCACCTCCGGATAAAATTCCAAACATATTACAAATCGTTAGACAAATTGATATGGTTTTCCGTGATTACATTATTAAATTATTGACGTACATGACCAAAACAAAGCGCCTTAAATATAATATTATTGTAGATTTTTTCCAAGCTTTGGATTGCCCCATTCCCGAGAACGCAGAAAAGGAATTTCAGGAGTACTATGAACGCGTTGCCTCACTCCCCAATAAACCAAAAGAGATCGACGATATTTATCCGCCAAAATCCGTCGCTTACGCAATTGTTCATGATGATGTTGACACATTCCGGTCTTACTTTCTGAGCGACAAGAATAATCAGACTGAGTTTTATAATCAAACTGTAGTCTTCCAGGGTAATAATTTGACTTATATCCACTTGGCGGCTCAAACATGCGCAGTTAACTGTTTTACCTTCCTTCTGAACTATTATCCAACATACGATGATGACCTACTTGATTCAGCAGTAATAGGCGGCAATATGGATATTATTCAGTTAGTCCTGAAAAATCCAAATCTCCAGCTAAAGAACCACCTTAGAACTGCTATTATATATCATCAAAATAATGTCGTCGGAAAGATATTTAAGGAATCTTCGGAAGAATTTCTCAATATCGACCTGCAGTTCTGCATTTCAACAATGAACCGATCAAGTTTGTATCTCATTATTAAAGAAATGTCAAGACTTGAATGCATTGATCGCAGAGATTCCAATTTACAAACAGCACTTATCGTCGCGACTCGTTTGGGCGAACTCGATATCGTCGAATACTTACTCGAATGCAAAGCGGATATCGAAGCTAAGGATGCAATCGGCGAGACCGCTTTATTAACGGCCGCAACTTACGGACATTTTAATGTTGTATGCTTATTAGTTACTAAAGGCGCCAACATTGAAGCCCAAGATAAGTACCTATGGACACCACTTATGGCGGCGTGCGCAAATGGTTACGAGGATATTGTACGAATCCTAATTTCAACTGGCGCAAATCCAAATGCAAGAGATATCATGGGTAAATCATGTTACGAAAGGGCAAAACCTAATATCCAAATGATGCTCAACATATCTGGTGAACGCCAGCCTTAATTATTTGTTTGAAAATATTAGTAAATGTTTGGTATAAAAAAATAAGATTTAAAAATCCCCTTATATGTAGTAATTAATAAATCTTTTGATTTTAAATTCCAATTTCCATTTTTCAAATGATTTTTAGTTGTATCATAACCAATAGTATTCCTCTCGTTCAAACAAGTAGCACACAACTTCTATTAAAGCAAGGAAGACAGGTCTACCTTTTACAACTCAGCTTATTTGATGATAATGTGAGGATAGGTAGACAATTGAATCACAGAACCTGCTCTTACTAAAACTCAGAAATACTAGTATATTGACAATGAAAACAAATTTGATTTCAGGGATGTATTTGTTTTTCAAAATATGTCTCTAAATTGTATTATGTTAAATCGGGATTTGATATGCTAAAGGTAGTTAATATGAAGTTTTAAGATGTATATATTTAAAATCAAGCAAAGAAGAGTCATTTAGAGACGGCGACCGCGGCGACCACCCTTCCTGCGGGTAGAATCGTGTGGGAGTGGTGTAACATCTTCGATACGGCCAATCTTAACACCAGCACGTGCAAGAGCACGGAGGGCGGATTGAGCACCCTGGGCTGGGAGACGGCGGGAGGAACCACCTTCACCACGGAACTTGATGTGAACGCCATCAACGCCGAGTTCTTTCAGACGGGCAGCAACGGCCTGAGCTGCAAGCATAGCAGCGTATGGTGTAGCCTCATCACGCTGGGCACGAACGGCGATACCACCTGTGCAGCGGGCGAGTGTTTCAGAACCAGAAAGATCTGTAACATGAACGAATGTATCGTTCTTGGAAGCATAAATGTGGGCAACACCCATAACGATTTCGCCATCACGCTTGACTGGGCCAAGTTGGACATCCTTCTTTCCTGTTGTAGCTGTCTGATCAGCTGGAGCTGCTGGAGCTGCTTCTGGTGCTGACATTAAAAAAGGATCGACCAAAACCGTTCATTCTATGAAACTTGACAAATTGAATATTTTACATTGTCAAAAATACTATGATTTTTTTGCCATTTTAATCGTTCATATCATTAATAAATACTGCTTGCTTTAAACATACTATCAAAATGAAGTTGATAATTCATCAAATAAGCTATGTCATGAGATGTTTAATATAATGGAAATTCTCCGAAATTGATTTTCACTCACTATAGTTCCCATAGTATAGTAGCATTATCAAATGAGAGTAACCCTGATGATTCATTTGAAGCGATTCCAAATAACGATTAGATCTTTTTCTATAAGGATCTCTTCATGAATTGGTTAGTACATATCTAACTTTTTGACTTCCCACATGTATTAGATCAGAATATCCTAATAAATTTTCGGTGATTACCACGGCGATCAAGGTGAAAAAATCCATAAATCACAAAAATAAATAAGGGTTTCGTTTTGCGAAAAAAACGTACAATACGCAATTTCGCTAAAAAAACATTTAGCTAGCAATTTCGACCTTTGACTCCACTCAAGACGTCACTTTTTTAATTTTGCGGTATCATATTTTTGGAAAATCTTTATGAATATTATATAAAAAGTCTCTTTAATATCTATATTTCATATTTTTATCGATTTTTAAAGTTTTTGCGAAAAGTATTCAATTATTTTTGCTATTTGGTCGGGTAAATGTCAGATTTGCGACATTTTCTGATATGATATTCAGATTCTACGTTGATAATAATGCTTATAGAACCCTCTTGCTATTGTGTCAAAATTGCGAAACCGATAGCAAAAATATCTCGCAATATCAAAATTGAGATATTGAGTGAATTATGCATTATAGAGATTAAAAATCTGATTTGTGAAAACATCTCATCAGTTTCTAGCTAATTCAAAAATCTTTACTATCTTATTCGATTAAAATGAAAAGGGAATAGTTTCATTATGCTTTAAATGACAGCCTTATAATATAATCATAGTTTTCGCTCAATATGCAGCTTTTTTTTTCGAAATCTATGGTCAATATCCTAAATACTGATTGCTTTGCATTCATATCTCTTACATTTTCTATATCCACATCACTATTCATTGCTATTCCTATCTTTTTCATTTTTGTTTGTTTCTCATAATTTCTCAAAAAACATGATAACTTGATATTTGTAAATATCATACTTTATAACGTAAATAAGAACTTGACCTATTAAGAAAAGCAGTAATGAAAAGAAAATCTGAAATTCATAAAAATTACAAGTTTCTGATGACAATTAGCTTAATTAAACCAGGTACAAGATTATATAATTGTATTTTCTATCCAATTATCCATATAATATCTTATCCAGAAAAAATAACTTGATCAATACCAAATGATTTTTTAACTAGTAAATAAAGTATTTTCTTTACACACACATTGTATATCATAGTTTTTTTTTTTTGGTTTCGCAAAACATCCAAAAACAAATATGCTATAAAAGTGACAATTTTAGCAAAACGAAACCCTTAAAATAAATGGATAAATAAGGCCTATTCAACCAATATTTAAATGCCATAGTGTGAAAATTATTATTTCGAAAATTGAATACTTTATGAAATTATCTGGCCGCATTATCTAATTTTTTTCATTTCAACTTTATAATGTTTGTCTTGTTAAGTCTTGCACGTTCTGAAGTTGTTCCAATTACATCCGAGAACTTCAGTGTAGTTGGCTTAGACCGCCCATATATGATTAAGTTCTACAGAGAAACCTGCCCACATTGCCAACAAATGGCTGCAGATTTCGTAGAAGCATCCGAGATGTACACAGAAGTTGGCTTCGGTGCAATCAGCTGCGAAACAGATAACAAGCTTTGTGATGATTACAAAATTTCTGGTGTTCCAACAGTTATCTTATTTGGTGCTCACAACAAGACAGGTGCTATCTTCGAGGGTCATGAACGTAATGCCGATGGCTTTGCTGACTTCATTGAAGAAACAATCCATATCAAGGCTGTTCGCCCACCGAAATATGTCAGAGACCTTACACCATTAAACTACAACCACACACTTGATAACGCTCAGTGTGCATTTGTCACATTCTTCGCCCCATACTGCGGCCACTGCAAGAGATGGCTTCCAAAGAATAAGATTGTTGCCAAGGCTTTCGCTGCCGATAACAACACAGTTACAGTTGGCACAGTTAACTGCGAAAAGTTCCATAGCCTTTGCGAGAATGTTCAAGGTTATCCAACAATCAGACTCTTCAAGAAGGGCGTAGCTGAGCCAGTTGAATACTCAGGCGACCGTTCACCAGAAGATGTTGCCAAATTCATCAACACAAACTGCGGAACACAACGCGCTGTTGATGGTCTTCTTACAGATGAAGCCGGTATCCTCAAAGAGGCCGAAGAGATTGTCAAGGAATTCCTTCACTCAGAAGATAAGGCTGCCGCTATCGCCAAGGCCAAGGAGCTCAAGGCTAACCTTTATGTTACATTCATGGAGCGCATTGTCAAGAATGGCGTTGAAAAGAGCAAGGAAGATCTCGCTAAGATCCGCGCTATGCTTGATGCTCGTACATCATCTTATAAGGTTCTTGATAACCTTAAGACACGTTATAACGTTTTCTCAACACTTCTCGGAGAAAGAGAGCCAAAGGAAGTTCCAGCCGCTGAACAACCAGCTGCTGAGCAACCAGCTGCTGAACAACCAGCCGCCGAGAAGCCAGCCGCTGAACAACCAGCAGCCGAGAAGCCAGCTGAGAACAAGGAGCTCTAAAACACACAAAATTTTTACAATAACACAAATTAAACAAATCATATTAGAAAAATTTTTTCTTATATATTTTTAACACTTTTTCCCAATTATAGGATTGATATTTTTATGATTAAATGCCAACATAAAATATATTCATCATACTATATATATTCACTGTTTCAAAATCTAAAAAAGATCGCAATATTCAATTCTGTTGTCATAGGATGTATTTCATGATATTGTGTCACTTCAACGATGCTTCGCGCCTGTTATCAGAAATTTGAATTCAAGTCAGATGGGTGTAACAGCATCCTTAAGTATACTTCAATATTAATTTATAAACTACTATAGAGAGTTGATGTAGTAAAAGAAATAATGGCTTCAAACAAAAATGGACTTAGAAATACAATTCTAAATATAGCATCTAAAACCGGAAATCTCATACTTGTGAGCTCTATCATTGAAAATGATTGCAACGACGAATGCAGGTGCGATATAGAAGCAAAGAATAATAATGGAAATACTCCACACATTAATGCATTATTAAAAAGTCATCTTGAAGTTGTTAAATATCTTATATCTGTTGGGGTAAACAAAGAATCTAGGAGTAAATATGGAAATACACCCCTTATTCTTGCATCAAAAAAGGGTCATACTGAGGTTGTTAAATATCTTATCTCTGCTGGGGTTGATAAAGAAGCAATGAATTATGATGGGAAAACCGCACTCATTTGGGTAACAGAAATGGGTCATCTTGAAGTTGTTAGAAATCTCATTTCTGCTGGTACTAATAAAGAAGCAACATCTAAAAATGGAAATTCTATACTTGCTTTGGCATCAAGAAATGGCCATCTTGACGTCGAAATTTTTCTTATCTCTGCAGGTGTTGATAAAGAAGCAAAGAATAAACATGGAGACACTGCACTCATATGTGCATCACAAAATGGCCATCTTGAAGTCGTTGAATATCTTAATTCTGTAGGGTTGTTTAAAGAATAAATGCATAATGATGAATAAACTGTGCCAGATGAACCCGATAATTCGTATGTTGTCATTTATGATGTAAAAATATTCAACAATAAATTTAAATTTCATATGTTAGCCATAATGTTAAAATCATCTGACATTTTTTAAATTACTTTTCTATACTGAAAGAATAATTATTTTAATGATACATCATGAAATAAATCTCATTTGACAATATATTTTTTTTGATTATATGTCCATAATAGCATTTTTATTATTTTCAAAATTATATAATCTTGGAATTCTATAGAATGGTTGATAATAATAATGCTTATAGATGTGTACTTGAATCATTGCATTGCTAAAGATATAACTTCATATCACCAACTCTCAGAGCATAAATGATATACAAAATTGCATAATTCATCATTGAAACAGTTTCCTAGAAGACCAATCATCCTTCCTGAGCGATATTAAAAAATTCCATTGGCAGAATTTAGAAATCAAATATCAAAAAAAGGCACTTTTTTAAACCAGACAAACTACTTGAATTTCCAGAGTGATGACAGAGAATCATGTAAAATTCGCTCAAAACGTGAAATCTGAATCACATCTTCCCGATATGGCTCAGGCCATTTCTGAAGAAGATCTGAGAGATCCACATGGTCCAAAGCGCGCATCAGATGTCACACTTCCTGACCCAGATTCGAAGTGGAACTTGATTCCTCTTATTCTTAAATCCACAGGATTGATCAAGCTTCAATTAAATTCATTTAATGACTTCATTGAATCAGGTTTAACTAAAATTATGAACGCAAATAAGGAAGTTATATTTTCAGAAAACCCGCGCGTTTACATTCGTTATAAAAACATTTATGTCGACCGTCCAAAAATTCGTAACCAAATTCTTACGCCTCAAATGTGCCGTCTTTCCGATGAAACTTATTCAGGAAACGTTTTAGTTGACTACGACTTTGTTAACGGCTCCACAGTTAAATCATTTAATAACCAATGCATCGCGAAGTTACCGATTATGCTCCAATCGAACCGCTGCTACTTATATAACGCGAGTGATGAAACATTTGCAAAATACGATGAATGCAGATACGATCCCGGTGGCTATTTCGTCATCAACGGCACAGAGAGAGTCGTCCATGTCCAAGAACAATCTCCTTACAACAGAATTTTAATTGAGCACCTTGCGAACGGAAATAAGACTGCTGTTGTCAACAGTTCAACTTCTACCCACAAGACACGTGTCGAGCTCATATGGAAGAAAGATACCCTCGCTTTACATCATAATGCTCTTAGCGAAGATATCCCAATTTTTGTTCTCTTCCGCGCTATGGGCGTTACATCAGATCAAGAGGTTATCCAACTAGTTGACCCTACAGGTGCTGTTGGCCACCTTTTGATGAGCAGTTTGCAAGAAATTATTAAATTAGAAATTTCAACACAAGATCAAGCCATCCAACTCATAGAACGTCGCCTTAAATTCTTAACAATCACAGGTATCGATGCTACGCGCGAAGAACGAAATATGAAGGGATATAAAGGCCGTGAATTCCTCCGTTCCATGGTTCTTCCTCATATCCCATCTACACTTACAGACTTCCGCCGTAAGTCCGTTTTCGTCGGATTTATGACTCGTTGGCTCTTATTAAGCGCTATCGATCCTCGAATGATCGACGGACGCGATTTCTTCGGCAACAAACGTCTCGAATTAGCAGGTGAATTACTTGAGCTTCTTTTCGAAGATCTTTTCAAGACATTCAACGCTTCAATGCAGAAAACCGTATCTCGTACGATTAACAAATCGAAAGGTATCGATCCAAGCAATATCGCGCAAGCAATGCACAGCGAAACAATTACTCACGGTCTCAAATACGCCATTTCCTCAGGAAACTGGAATATCACCAGATTCAAGATGATGAGAGCCGGCGTTTCCCAGTTGCTTGGCCGTATGTCATACCTTCAATTTGTATCCATGGTTACCCGTATTTCCTCCCATTTCGAGAAGACACAAAAAGTGGCAGGAGCACGTCTTCTTTATCCCTCTCAATTTGGCTTCATTTGTCCCTCAGACACTCCAGAAGGTGCCCAATGCGGTCTGATCAAGAATTTCGCATTGACAGTCCATGTAACTGTTTGGGCCGATCCAGCTCCAGCCAGACGAACTCTTCTTGACTTAGGAGTTGAAGAACTCGTTGTTTTTTCAGGCGAAGAAATCTCAAACAACTACATTGTCATGCTCAACGGCGAACCCATTGGAATCATCGATGATCCATACTCCATTTGCCGCAGATTCAGACAAGTCAGACGTCGTCATTGGGTTGACAAATTCGCTGCAATTTGGATTGTCGAAGCCAAGAAATGCATCAACGTTTCGACAGAGGCAGGACGTGTTTGCAGACCATTGATCATTGTTGAGGACCACAAATCGAAATTGACACAGGAATTGATGGACCAAGTCAACCGCGGAGAAATCAATTTCGATTATCTCTTGGACAATGGTATAATCGAGTACGTCGATGTCAATGAAATGACTGATTGCCTCATCGCATTCAACGATAAAGATATCGAAGAAGAAAGGAAGAATTGCGTCAATGATCCTCCTCTCGCGAAAGGAGAACTTCGATATTTCACACACCTTGAAATCCACAATGCACAAATGCTTGGTGTTTGCGCAGGTGTCGTTCCATGTCCTCACCACAACCAGTCTCCTCGTAATACTTACCAATGCGCTATGGGTAAACAGGCAATTGGTCCAACAGCTCTCAACATCATGCACAGAGTTGACAAATCCACATATTTCAACTGTTACCCACAGCAACCAATGGTACAGACGAGAACAATCAGATTGTCAAGGTACCACGAGATGCCTTGTGGACAGAACGCAATGGTCGCTATTATGTCTTATTCAGGACATGATATCGAAGATGCCCTTCTTATGAACAAAGCATCGTTGGACAGAGGTTTCGGAAGAAGATATTATCTTTCAAAACTTGATTTGATGCTAAAGAATTATCAAGGAGGAGTTATTGGTGATAGAATCGCTCCTCTTGATAGAGAAAGGCCGGAAAACATTGCAAGTCCACAGTATTCTTTGTTGGATGCAGATGGTATCATAAGACCAGGAGAAAGAATCGAAAAAGGAATGATTTACGCAAATAAATATGTTCCTTTGAATTTCGAGGAATCTCCTGTCAAATTCATGGCACAACCAGCTCGTTACAACTATTATCCTGTGATGATCCAAAACGTGTCTGTCTATACAACAGAAACAACACAGGTCATCAAGATTAAAACAGCTGATTTCAGAAGACCAGAACTAGGTGACAAATTCTCTTCAAGACATGGACAAAAAGGTGTCATCGGTTTAATCGTTCCTCAAGAAGACATGCCATATACAGAGGACGGAATCTGTCCGGACATGATCATGAATCCACACGGTTTCCCAAGTAGAATGACTGTAGGAAAAATGATCGAACTCGTGTCAGGAAAAGTCGGAATTCTCACAGGAAGAATTGGAAATGGAACTGCTTTTTCATCTGACAGAGTCAAAGATATCGCTGATGATTTGATCGCTGCAGGTTATTCTTACTCAGGAAAGGACATGCTCATGTCAGGAATCACTGGAGAACCTCTCTACGCGTACATCTTCTTCGGACCTGTTTTCTACCAATCATTGAAACACATGGTCAAAGATAAGATGCAGGCAAGAGCTACAGGACAAGTTCAGTACTTGACAAGACAGCCAACACAAGGAAGATCAAGACAGGGTGGTATGAGACTCGGTGAAATGGAAAGAGATTGCTTGATCGGTTATGGAGCTGCTTCAATCCTTTACGAGAGAATGTTGATTTCTTCTGATGTTTATGAAGCAAATGTTTGCGCTAAATGCGGATTCATCGGTTACGAAGGATACTGCACACACTGCAAGACAAAGGAGTACATGAAGATTGTTAGAATGCCTTACGCTTGCAAGCTTTTGTTCTATGAATTAATGGCAATGGGAATCGCTCCAAAGGTCAGATTAGAAGACCTTTAATTTTTTTTATTTATAAAGTTTTTTTTGATTTTATTAATTTTTTTAGTATTTTCTTTAGATAAAGATGAAACTTTATTTAGCTTATCAATGGTATCAAATTAACTATCATTTTGGGTGCAATTATGCCCCTATGACATGACCTTCAATTCAGATGTTTAAGGTTAATTTTCAATGATGTTTCACATCAGTTGTCAAAAATTTGAATAAAAGTCAGATGGGCGTAATGGCAACTTTAAGTGATTTTTTTAAAAAGCACTACAGATTTGCCCCTAGTATTAAGGAATTGATATATGCACATCACATATAGATAATATCGTTGATTATTAAAAAAACAATATTGTTTTGCTATATATATGAGAAATCAACAGTATCAAATATGATTTTTGAAGAGGAAATCATCAAATAATCTTTTACTGATTAGCAATATTTAAATTGATAACAGAAAGGAGCTGATTAGCTTGGCAGCATTTCCAGACAAATGAATGCCAAAAAACGCCTTCTCTGAAAAAACCAAATATTTCAAGTTCATCAAGACAGAATACATATGGAAATCTTGGATCATTCGACTGAGAATTTAGAGAATTTTCAACAAATCGAATAGATCTTAAATTTTCAGTAAATTTATCAATTGAAAAAGTCTTACTTCTAATTGATGCAAATGGAGAATTACGAACTTCGCTAAAATTCTTCCAATTTGTTCCAATCAGACCTTGAAGTGTCCAATTGATGGGATTATATGGTTGTTCACCAGAGGGATTTCTCGCAATAAATGTGTAACTAGTTGGAGTGAATGTGTATGGACTTTTAAAATCGATTTGAATGAATGGAAATAGTTGGTTTTTAGAGCACCAATCTGTAAATGTTTTACCAATTATATTATCAATGAGACAATTTTTACGGTGGTTTTGATCCCAAACAGTAGAGCTGACACTTAAATTATATAAATCTTTATAGTTGTGTAGAATGCCGTTATAGTCCGTGTCATACTTAGAATATGTATATCCATTGTAGTTACTCACTTATACATGTAAAAAATTTAATTGAGTACATGAGATTTCCCAACAAATGGAAATTGTAAACTAAAAGTGTAAATAATTACATCAAATTTTGACACCGTAACACTTTACAAATTTCGGAAATGGAAAATCTTTAATTATAAAGCAAATATAGTATTGACGAGCGAAACTAATTGAACCGGATTATAGCCTGCCCAATTTTGCGAAAGATAACAAATTCCTTTTCTGATAAAACCAAATATTTCAAGTTCATCAAGACAGAATAAATATGGGAACTCTGGATGATTCCACTTTGAATTTGGTGAATTTTGAACAAATCTAATCGATTTCAAATTTTCGGTAAATTTATCAATTGAAAAGGTCTTGCTATTAACTATAGCGAGGGAAGATTTTTGAATGTCGCTTATATTCTTCCATTTTGTTCTAATCAAACCTTGAACTGTCCAGTTAATAGGATTATAAGACCCTAAACTAGAAATATTTCTCGCAACAAATGTGTAACTGGTTGGAGTGAATGTGAATGGACTTTTAAAATCGATTTGAATTAATTCATATAAATTATTTTTGGAACACCAATCTTGATATAAAATCCCAGTTAAATTATCAATGATATAACTTGGGCGTGAGTTTGATCCCAAACGTTAGAGCTAGCACTTAAAGTGTATATATATAAAGATATCCTTATAATTATGCAGAATTCCATTATAGCCCGAGTCATACTTGGCATGTGTGTATCTATTTTAGTTACTCATTTATGCGAATAAAGAATTTTGTTTAGCTAATAAGAATTTCAGGGGAAATTGGCATATTTAGACCACTTGAACAATGTAAATACGCAAGCATATGAGATGTGAATTAATGGTAAATAGTTTTGGACTAAATTGCATCAATAGGAAAATACAAACTTTTCTGAATGTAAGAAAAGTGATATCTGAGAGTTAAAATAATTCTTTATTATAGAATAATAATAACACCAATGAATGAAATGAATTGCATTGGATGATAACATCTGTAATTTTGTGAAAGTAAGCAAATACCTTTTCTGATTATACCAAATATTTCCAATTCATCAAGACAGAATACTAATGGAAATTTTGGATCATTCGGGCGAGAATTTGGAGAATTTTGAACAAATCTAATCGATTTCAAATTTTCTGAAAATTGATCAATTGTAAATGTCTTGCTATTAACTGTGGCGAGTGGCGAGTTTTGAACATCACTTATATTCTTCCAATTTGTTCTAATCAAGCCTTGAACTGTCCAGTTAATAGGATTATAGGGTTGGTCACCAGAAACATTTCTCGCAACAAATGTGTAACTGGTTGGAGTGAATGTGAATGGACTTTTAAAATCGATTTGAATAAATTCATATAAGTTGTAGAACACCAATCTTGAAGTAACGTGCCAGTTTTATTATCAACGAGATAATTAGGGCGTGAGCTTTGATCCCAAACGTTAGAGCTCGCACTTAAAGTGTATAAATCCTTATAATTATGCAGAATTCCATTATAGTCAGAGTCATACTTGGCATATATGTAGTTATTATAGTCACTCACTTGATTGAATCAAATATGTTGATTTAAATTTTTCAAATTCTGTTTTTTTATGTCACATGTCATTCATCAATTAAAGACCTACAGCATGGTTATGCTGTATTCTCACATAATAAACTGTTGTGGTGATTATGATGGAAATTGGAATAGTGTTCTATATCGACTTATAAGGCTCTGGATTATAACGAATAATAACGTAACATTTTATTTTCAGAGGCATAAATTATGCAGCTGCAATTGTTATTGCCTCAAACTAGTTACTATATGAAAAATGATTTCAAATTATTAGAAAATAAATTGAAACTTTTACAATATAATATAAAAATCTTTATAATATTCTATGTTACAGTAATTAAAGTGAGAAATATAAGAAATTGGTTCTGATTAAAACTCCAGAATTGTGAGATATAACATTTTCTTTTCCTTATAATACCAAATATTTCTAGTTCAGCAAGACAAAATGAATGAGGACTAATTGTATCAGGTCCTAAAGAATTCATGGAAATTTGCATAAATCGAATAGAATTTAAATATTCGGAAAATTTATCAATTGTAAATGTTTTGCTTTTCTTCACATCTAAGGTTGAGTTTCGGACTTCGCTAATATTTTTCCATTCGCCTCCGAACAAACCTTGAACTGTCCAATTTATAGGATTATATGCATCATTTTCTGAAGAATTCCTTACAACAAATGTATAGCTTGTGGGAGTCAATGTATATGGATTTTTAAAATCAATCTGAACATATTGATACAATAAGCTTTGCGAACACCAATCTGTATATAGTCGATCGATTACATTATCAATGAGATAGCCTGGGCGTTTATTGTCCTCAAGGTTAATTGAACTGACATGCAAAGTGTATATATCTTGATAATTATGCAATATTCCGCTATAATCAGAGTCATGCTTTGCATGCACATAATCATTATAGTTACTCATCGGATCAGCATAGCATAAAAAATCACTTTAAATTTTTTGATTTAATTTTATCGGCACTGCGCACCGATAAATCTAATTCACGTTTATATATTAGCATCATTCAATATCCGAAATATGTTATTAATCATATAAATCTTGATGCAATAAAGTCACAGGCAAATTTCTACTTTAGAAAAATACAGTGATTAATTGAAATATGTGAAGTCAGAATTTTGTTTCAAATATTTAATTGTGGGGTCAAAAACTTCTATTTAATTTGATATAAAAATAATGAGAATAAACGATAATTTCATAAACGATTTGAATGACAAACGAAGTCAATTCAAAATTGAAAAAAATTGAATTTTCATCAACGGCGCACAAATTTTATGATAATAGTTTAAATTATAATTTCATTATGGACAAAAAAGCTATTTAGCATAATAAACTCTTATCTTCCTAGCGCCTATGTTAATGCAAACATGGCAAGGAGTGTAGCAAGACAAATACATGAACAACTCGGATTAAATGAATCACTTGCAACCAAATTAATCTATGATCACTTTCAAGGAAAATATGTCAGTGGCATTTATGTCAGTGCATGCGTTGCTTTAATATGCCAGCAACTAATTCAAATGGAAAAACATGCAAAATTTACTAATGCAAAACAAGTTTTGAAACAAAAACGTCTTCGAAGTCTAACAAGTGAAATCATTACTTTTTTCCCCTCTAGAATGATCCTTTAAAAAAGGTATATTATCAATATATTTACATTAAATTAAGCAAATAATTACAATTTTACAGATAAAAAATGTATACAGTTTCTTATCATAAAAGAATAAAAACACTAATAATTGAAAGGAATTGAAGAGGGTATTTACAATTCCAATTTATCGATAGATAACAAATTCCTTTCCTAATAATACCAAATATTTCTAATTCAACAAGGCAAAATACTTTTGGCGCTACAGTATAAGGTCCTTTTGAATTTATTGAAATTTGAACAAATCGAAGAGAATTTAAATTTTCGACATAATTATCAATTGTAAAAGTTTTACTACTAATTATAGAAAAAGGTGAATTTCGAACTTCGCTGATATTCTCCCATTTAGATCCAATTAATCCTTGGACCGTCCAATTAATGGGATTAAACGCATCTGTTCTATTAGAATCTCTTACAAAAAATGTATAGCTCATAGGAGTAAAAGTGTATGGTTTTTTAAAATCGATTTGAATATATTCATATAAATTGTTTTTTGAACACCAGTATAAATCTGTTTGATTGGGCTTATTATCAATAAGATAGCCAAGACGTAAATTGTTGTTAAAGTTAGTAGAACTTACATGTAAATTGTATAAATCGTGATAATTATGCAGTATTCCATTATAATCAGAGTCATACTTTTCATGCACATAATTATTATACTCGCTCATCGCATTAATTTAGCATAGATAATCATTTTCATTTATTTTTGAGAAATTATTTTTATATCACATGTCATCTGATCAGGAAATTTTTGAATTGAAATTAATCAACATATGTCATATCACATGTCAGAAAATGTTATTCATGTATTCTTGGCAATTGCTTTAAGGAGAACAAATTTACTTTATCAAAGCAATAACAACACCACACATATAATGCAGAAGAACAATAATTATATAAAACTTCTTGATTTCGATATTGAAAATCCAATATCCAGTTTCAACAAGCAGTAAACTGCTTTCAACATAATCATTATTTTAGTGGTCTTTTGATATTTTCATCTTAAAGCAGGAAGAATACTAATAAATGATATAAAATCGAGTGCCTGGCAGTTTTCACATTTTAATGTATGAACCCACTCTTCTTTCCTTATGGTACCGAATATTTCTAACTCAGAGAGGCAAAAATGATTATTTCCTTTTGAATTTATTGAATTTTGAAGAAATCGAATAGAATTTAAATTTTCTGTAAATGTTACAATCGAGAAAGTTTTGCTGATCATTTCGCTCAAAGATCTGTCTTGAACTTCAGTAATATTTTGCCATTCGTTTCCGATTTTGCCTTGAACTACCCAGCTAATGGGATTAAAACTATATCCATTCCAATAAGGTCTTACAAAAAATGTATAATTTGTTGGAGAATAAACAAATGGTTCTTTAAAATCGATTTGAACGAATTGATCTTTTTTATCATAGGAACACCAATTTCTAAACGGCCGATCAGTAATGTCATCGGTAAGATAATTGACGCGCTCAGGTCTATCACCATTAATAGAGCTTACACTTATATTATAGATATTTCGATAATTGTGTAAAATTCCATTATAATCAGAGTCACGTATTGCATTAATGTAGTTATTATACTCGCTTAAGATTAATAATTTCTTTATTATTTCTATTTACTAGACTATATCCTACATTTTCGTGTAAGTTGTGCTCAATTGATTGATAACCCAAAACCGAAATTTGACAATCTGGTTTTGTTAATTTCTACCAAATTCTACTTACCATGTATAGTTTTGAAAAAAAGATTCAACAAAAAATAATTTTTTTGAATGAACAAAAATGACGACGATTGAAGAGCTACTTAAGGGTGCACCCGTATGTACGTTTATTTGAGAGGAGGAGGATTATATTTTTGAAAGGGTGAAACATTATGAATATGTTAATTATATAATAATATGTATTATTATAAAAAAGAAAAAATAAAGCACGTTAAAATTTTCTTTCTTGATTTTTTACAAAATCGACTTAGAATTATGCAAAATATGTCTAAATAATTATAAATTTCAAGTTAAATTTTAATTTTGATAAATAATTTAAATTTCAAAATATCAAGTTCAGTTCGACTATGTATGTAGTAATTCCTCAATAAAGTGCCAAAACCCTATTAAAATATATGAACATTTTCAACATTTTAATGTTTTTATTTAAAAATTTGATGGAATATGAGCTTCAAACAATTATTATGTAAATAAAAATAATTAAATATATGTATTTATTCGTATTACAACCGTAGTAAGTCGATTCTTCCTTTCTTCTACTGAGTTTTGAATTTGATTTCGAATTGTAAAGAGATTCAAAGGGAAAATACTAGCGGAGAAAAACTACCTCCATGAAAGGGTCATAATGGACTCAAGTTGTATTTTTTGATATTTTTTGCTTTTCGAGCCTAAATAGGTAGCCAAGATAATGCCTAAAAATAAGGTTCTAAATTCTGAAGTTTACATGATCCTCTCGTGTGCACCCTTAAATTCACGTAAAAATTACTTAAAGAAGAACAAATTTTCTTTTGCACAACAACAATAACACCACTCAAATAGTGAAAACCACGAACGTTCTGAATAAATTCAATTAAGAATATCTAATTACCAGTTTTGAGACGATACAATCCGCTTTTTCATATTCAGAATTACACCATTACATATGGTAATACAATTACTACAATCGAAGCGAGAATTTTACAATCTTTAGGCGTGTTTTCAAATCAGATTGGCATTTTAATAAAGAAGTCTCTTAATACTTTTACCTTATAAAGAGAAGAGTAGGGGTAAATGAAATTGAACCAAAAGGCCTAATGATATTGCAATTTATTGAAAAAATGCACAATCCTTTTCTTATGATACCAAATATTTCTAACTCTGAGAGACAGAATACATATTGAGTAGCTGGGTCATTTCCTTTTGAATTTATTGAAGTTTGAAGAAATCGAATAGAATTTAAGTTTTCTGTAAACGTATCAATATAGAAAGTTTGACTTGTAATGTAATTAAAGGATGATTCATCAACTTCACTAATATTTTCCCAATTATTTCCAATTTTTCCTTGAACTACCCAGCTCATTGGGTTATAACCATATCTATGCGAAGGCGGTCTTGTCACAAATGTATAGCTTGTTGGAGAATAAACAAATGGCTCTCTAAAATCAATTTGAATATATGAATTAATTAGATTAGCAGAACACCAGTCTTGATACATCCTATCAGTTACATCATCTGTTAGATATCCAATGCGCTCAGGATTATTAAAGCTAATTGAACTTGAAGTTATATCATAGATATCTCTATAATTGTGTAATATTCCATTACGATCAGAATCACTCCGTGCATAAATGTATTTATTATATTCGCTAATTTGATTAAATACTTATTTTTTTTTACATCCTTTCGAAATGATTTCTTTTCATATCACATGTCAAGCTCATCCATCTTAGACTTCTCCAAAGAAAACTATTGGTCACAAGTTCTTAAGGACAAACTTGATGGACAGCTTACACCATCAATAACGAGACTAAATTTGTCTTCATGTCACATTGATGGCGATTGTTGTGCAATTTTACAAGAATTTCTTCAGTCTCCTGATTGCCATTTGTTATCATTAGACGTTTCAAGTACTAGAATGGCTGTTTCTGAGGCTAGTATGCTCTTTACTTCAATTGCTAAGACAACAATCATAGAATTTTATGCGGATGACTTGATATTAAAGGAAGAATCCATACAGAAATTAGCTGAAACTCTCTCTTCTGACTCAAATATTGAAGTTTTGAGTTTATGTGGATGTGATTTGAACCAAAGATCGATTGCAACGCTTGCTACAGCACTCCCTTACGCTAAAAACCTCAAATATTTACGTCTTGAAAGCAATTCGATGTACTCTGATGGAGCAATAGCATTAGAAAAAGTTTTACCGAAAACCAACCTCATTTCTCTTGAAATTGCTGATAATATGATATGGAATGATGGCACTGATGCCATTCTTAGTGCTATTTCGCAAGGAACTCAAATTCAATATCTGGATATTTCGTATAATGTACTTAATATTCCATCACTTCTTTCATGTCTTACTCCTTTCAGCAGCCTGAAGAGCTTAGCTATCAGTGGCTGCAAGGTCGAACAGCAACACGTTCAAAATTTGATCGAACATCTCGGAAAGTCACATTTAGAGACATTTATTATGGATGGCCTTGATTTTAATTACTTACCGATTACATGGCCTAAAGTTACAGACAGTTTCTTTTCAAATGATCAACTTTTTAATTTATTTGAAAATTCGTTACTCGAATCACAGACATTAACAGACGTACGTATCGGATTCCTATCTACCATGCAAATTGGCCGTCTAATGAACAGCCTTTCCAAGCTGAAACGCAAAATTACGATTACATTACAAGATTTCTACAGAACGAACGATTTTTACGTTCTCCATTTCCCCGATTTCTACATTGAAGGCTGCGATGAGCTCCTTGCCGTCACTTGTGATATAGATAACTGCACTTCTGACGTTTTTGGCCAAATTGTTAAAAATGTCAAAACTCCAAACGGCCAAATCTCCAAACTCGAGATCACAATGGAACAACAGAGCGATAGCAAAGGTCTTGAGCTTGCTTTATCATCACTTTCACAGACAAATGTTGAAAAATTAGTTGTTGATCTTAAAAGTTACTCTAAATTCACAATTGACGGCCTCAAGACAGCCATTTCTAATGGAGCCAAGTTCACCGAGATAACTCTTCACGGTTCTAGGTTTTCAAACGAAATCTTCCAAGATTTCTTTGACTTTCTTAATAACACTAAAAACAACGTTGTCAACATCACCATTGGACTTGATTCGAACGACTGTGCTGAAGACATGCTTCACAGTTGCATGGACAGTGCATTGAAGTTCTTCAAGAAACAGATCAGAGAGTTTTACTTGGAAGGAGACATTACTCCTGCCGATGCTCTCTATGTCTGCGCTTCTCTGTATGACAACAAGGAGATAAGGATAATAGACATCAATTCCTCAAATATACAGGCATACAAGAGTCCTGATCCACAACTGAAACAGTCAACAATTGACATCTTCTTGAGATTGGCCGAATTACTTGAAAAAATTACAAAACAAGAATCAAGTTTGCACACGTTCAACTATCCTCTGTTTACTGATATTTATGTTGACAACGACCAAATATTGCCTAAATGGCTCTCGGCAAGAAAGAAGATACAGGAAAGACACGAAAGTGTCCAAGAATAAAGATATATTTATTTTTTTGTTTTTTAAAAATTTATAACTCAACTTTTAAATGGTGCATGGTTATGAAAAAATCAATATATCTTTATTTTAATAGCGGAAAAGTATAGCAGCCATATTAGTTACTATATAGTGATGTATATTTACTTTCTCCTGACCAAAAATATTAACTTTTGACCTTATAAAAATGGGATAGAAAGCTTATGTGTCAAAAAAATTGAGAGAAAGTCAGAAAGTGGTAAATGCATCCTTAAATGGTGTACTGAAAAAATCTTACTTATTATATTTGTTTTGGTTTTAAAAATATAACTCAGCTTCATTGTTTTTTTTATTATTCAGGAATAAAGTCATACTTATTATTTGGTTTGGTTTTAAATATATGAAAAAATCAATATGATAATCAAGATATAAAAAAAAAGAGTTTTACATGGAATTCAAAAAACACACAAAAACGATTATTTAAGGGTGCACTTACTACTTTTTGACAAGCTCACATAATATCATCATATCTTTATTTTAATTACAAAAAAGTATAATAACCATATGAGGTATTAGATTGTGAATTATAATAACCCTTTTCTGATCAAAAATATTAAATTTTAATCATAGAAAATTAGGATATGAAGCATTGATGTCAAAATAGAAATTTGGTTGTTTCTTTATTATTATGTATTGCAATATGAAGAGCAGTTTTTCCATCATTATCTTTTTCATTGATATTTATACCATGTGAAATAAGAAGTTTGACTGTTTCTTTAATATTATAATATACTGCAATTTGAAGAGCGTTTTGTCCCTCCATTATCTTTTTTATTAATCTTTATATCATGTGATTTAAGAAGTTCGGCTGTTTCTTTATGATTAAAAAATGTTGCAGTATCAAGAGCGGTTTGTCCATATTCATCTTTTTCATTGATATTTGCACCATGTGATATTAGAATTTCGGCTGTTTCTTTACTATTGTTAGATGCTGCAGTATGAAGAGCGGTTTTTCCATCATTATTTTTTTCGTTGATATTCGCACCATGTGATATAAGAAGTTCGGCGATTTCTTTCCTATTATCATATACTGCAACATGAAGAGCAGTTCTTCCATTATCATTTTTTGCATTGATGTTTATACCATGTGATATAAGAAGTTCGGCTGTTTCTTTATAATTATAATATACTGCATTATGAAGAGCAGTTCCTCCGTCATCATCTTTTTCATTGATATTTATACCATGTGATATTAGAATTTCGGCTGTTTCTTTACTATTATTATATGCTGCAACATGAAGAGCAGTTTCTCCATAATCATTTTTTTCATTGATATTTGCACCATGTGATATAAGAAGCTCGACTGTTTCTTTATGATTTTCGAATGCTGCAATATGAAGAGCGGTTCCTGCATCATCATTTTTTTCATTGATATTCGCACCATTTGATATAAGAAGTTCGGCTGTTTCTTTACTATTATTATTTGCTGCAATGTGGAGAGAAGTTTCTCCATCTTTATTTTTTTCGTTGATATTTGCGCCATGTGATATAAGAAGTTCGACTGTTTCTATACAATTATAACGTGCTGCAATATGAAGAGCGGTTTTCCCATCAATATCTTTTTCATTGATATTTGCACCAGTTGATAGGAAATATTCACAAAGAGATGGAATATTAAACATCACTGAATAAACAAAGCATTTGTCAACATCATTAGTTTGGTCGAAATAAACTAAAAATGCATCAAGATTACAATGCACTGCACAACAATCTAAATTGATAAATTTATTGTATTCATTCATCAAGAACGTAACAAAATCAATGTTGTGTGAAATAATTGCATAATCCATGCATTCTCTATTTGGTTTCTGATATTTCAAACATTCACTCATGATCTCCGGATTTCCTCCTAAAAAAGATAATTGAAGACATGTTTGAGTTATTGGTGATTGAAATTTCGTTCTTAATAACTTGAAACAATCAACTGCTCCATGGTAACAACATAATTCAAGTAATGAATATACAATGTGATGAAAATTTGGATATAAACTACTTTTAAGTTTTTGATCTTTATCAAATCCATCCATTTCAGTGAATGTAATGAATCTTTCTAAATCATTATACATAATTGCTCTGTAAATCGTATTTTCTTTATGAATATCCAGATTTTCTGAGTTAATTTTTTCAAAATCATCAGATTTGTCTAATTTAATTCCATATTCTTTATAAAACAGGAAGTTTGAAATATGTTCAACATTCCTGATATCTGTGACATGATAATCATCAGATATGTGTTTGACAAGAAATAAATATGACTTCGTATAGCGATTATTATACGGAACGATACATAAAATGTCTTTAATAATCTTTTTCGGTGGGTATGTCTTTGAATCAATCAATTCTGTTTTGATCTGTTGGTAAATGTCTTTTATTTCTTCTTCTTTTTCCGTTTTTAGCTGATACAACGCAATATATGAATCAATGTAGTGTTTATAGATACTCCTCAGTTCGCTGTATTTATTTGGATCAATATCATTTTCGGACATTAATAATTTTTAAAAGGACCCATTTGCATTTTAACATATGGATATCTTTTAAGCTCATTAGAAGAAACGAATCAATGATTACAAAGATTTCGGAAATAATTTCGGATCTAATTTATGAATTTTAATTAAGTTTATAGATATGAAATGACACATAGTATAAAGCAATAAGATTTTCATCCAGACGTTTATATTCAAACAAAACTATTTAAATTTTACAAGATAATTCAAGAAAATCATTATATTTGAGGTATAAATGATTTTCTAATGTTGATCTTTATCAGCTTTGCGAAAAATTAAAAATTAAATGTCAATTATCTTATGATGTCACATAATTGTGCATTATGATTGTTTTAAGCATATATAAACTTAATTAAATTATAATTTTCATTATTAGTTTATGATGGATATCCCCAACATATATAAAGACAATCATGTCCATGAACACTTTATAATTATAATGGACATTAACATTTTGAAAAGACTAAGTCAAGTCCATAGATAAAACTTAGTCCATGGATAGCTTACCTTGTCCTATTATATTTTGGAATAAAATAACACATAGAAAATCAATGACTCAGATATTTAGTTTATTTTTTAGCTTAAGGATACCCTTACATTGCGTAGTTAGAAAGAGAATATGATATTGTCATGATTGCTAAAGTTTTAGGCTCCAGAAATGAATATACATCAAACTGAAACAATTGATAAATTGAATGAACTTTTGAGAGGTTCTCAAATAAAAAAAATTATCTAATTTTTTACAATATTACTATTATTTTATCCACATATGTATATATAGTAATTTGAGAAAACTTTTAGGAAAAAATAAGTTTAATAAAAATCTGAATTTTACTTGTTGTGGGATTGTTATTAATTGACACTCCAGACGTATTACTAATAGTTATGCGTATGCAATTAAAGTATTTCTGATGGACAAAATGTGAGATTTATATCAGATAATTCATTTCTACTATTAAGTTATTCATTTATGAGTTTGCACTTATTCGCACTAAATAAATAACTATTAAAAATTGTTTTAATTAATTGACACCATATAATAGAGTGAATTTTGTTTGATCAAACAACAATAGATGATAGATATAAAGCCAAGAAACTTGCTATTAATATGCTCTACTTGCTATTTCAATGTAAGTATGATATTTTCTAAATGTTTCGTTCAGATAACTTAGATATATTAGTCAAAATTTGAAATTTTAATAGCACATATATTAAAAATAATTATTATTCATAAAAGATTAATGAAATAGTAAAAAAATCAATCAAATTATAAAAATACAACATTTAGAAGAATTCTTATTATCCTTCAAAAAGTCAGTATTTCTGCTGTAATTTTCTACAACATTGTAGTTATTGCACTTTGTCTATGGATTTGTATATATGTTATATATAAATTATATATCTAAACTGCCCATAAGTGCAATTTTTATATAAATTGTTTATTTCTTTAACAATTTCATATGAAATATGCTTTTTAAGCGTATCAACGCTGTGTTCTTAATGTGCATGGATATATCAAGAAAAATGTCGAAAAAAATGTGAATTCACAAATTCACTGAATTTTCACCGTTTTTTGAATTTTGCTACAGCACTAATATTAAATAATACTAAAATCTTCTGTCTTTGTAAAAGAATAAATTCTGACAAAAAGTGCTCGTTTAAATTTAATGATCATCTGTATGACTAAGTGGTAAAAAGTGTTTATGACCAAAAAAGGGTTACATGCTTAGTCTATTTTTCTGACAGGATACTCTAGATTTACATGATCTCTATTTCATATCTCCGTTTTTAGATTCTTCGACAGATTTTATGATAGAAAACCAAGATTAACAAATTTCCGGCATGTTAATGAAGAAATCTGCAGCTACCCTCAATATTATTTCAATAATCAGTATCGTTTCTCTTACAATTTTTTTTTCTCAATAATTTAACAAGAAATAACAATACACACTTGGTTTTACGTATAAAAGCTAAGTGTCGAACTTAATCAACTTTACTTACTTAGCAAATGAATATTTTTGTGGTTGCGAGTTCTGAATGCTGAAGTTTTAGATTTCTCTATAAATGATATCATTGCACTTACAATGTTGTTCCAGCCTATCGCATAAATCATAGAAAATCCAAAAAAAAAAAAATAATATAAAGAAAATTCATGTCATGAAGTTCAAAAAATACCGTGTAACATTAAAATTTGTTATGCATAATACATTTTAGCTATTATTGATTTTTTTTAATTTTCGAGAAATTGAATGGTGAGTCCGATAGAGAAATTTTTAAAAATCCTAGTGCCTCATAGAAGTAATTTCCCTCGTCTCCCATACTTCCAAATGTATGCATATGACATAAACTTTTATGCATTACACAAGTGGCCAATAATATCTATAGAGTAAAAAATTAGAAATTTAATTTTTTTATATGATAGTTATATTTCAGATTTGCGAGCGTAACTTTTTTCTCCATGGCATACTTGTTTTAAGAGCAAATGATCAAAATCGTCCTTCAATTATTGAAGGAGCTGATATCTTTTGAAAATTGAATTGAAAGGGTATTCAATTTTCAAATTTCCTCTCAATTTTGGAAACATATCAACTCTATGAATTAACAATTATGTGCCTTCACAGTTTATCAGTCATATAAGGTGCTTATAAAGAAAAAAGTTACGCTCGCAAAATATGTTTTTATATAGATTTCACATAAAATAATTATGTAATTTCTAAAAAGAATATTTTTGTTCTTGAATATTAAAGTGTATTGTAGTTTAAAAAGTTTTAAATATGTTGCTAAAATTTCAGGTTTATAGCTCATGTCTAGCATGACTTCTTCGTATGCGCAAAAAATCTGACACGTAAGGGTATCCTTAAACAAATAAAAAACAAATATAATTAGTTACCAACATCATAAGACAATTCATTAAATTCTTCTGTAATAAATTTATGTGACTCATCTACTAACTTTGTGAATACATTTTCAATTGTACTTGATGTACAAGTGTAGTATTGAAGAACTTTCTGTTCATTCTTCAAAATGTTTAATTTTGCAAACAATTCTGAAAGAGTGATTTCATTCGAAGGAACAGTGTAAATAATAGAACTCTGGTGTTTGATGAGTAGTTTTGCATTCTTTATATTCATTTCAATGAATTTCTCAGCAATTTCCATTGTTTCTGGCTGCTTATTGGTTAAAATCAAGTCAAACTTCCATTCTTGACCGAATTTATTACTCAAATAAGATGGACTTCCAATTGTATGAATACATCCATCAATCATCACAGCAATCTCATCGCAAAGACCATCAACTTCATCAATAATATGTGTACACAATATGAATGTCTTGGCACCTTTGTACATGTTAATTAGATTATGAACTTTTCTTCTGCTAATTGGATCAAGAACAGATGTTGGTTCATCCAAAACAATGATTTTAGATTCAATCATGTAATAACAACGTAAGGAATCACAAAAATAACATCAGCAATGTAAGTTCCGATCCAATAAGCAAATAAATTCATTCGATACAAAAGTAAATAAGGTCTACGTGGAGAAAAGATATCACACTTTGAAAAGTATATCGATGGGAAACACATAATCGTTATTCCTAATAGTAAGGGGATAACTTTGGCTTCCGAAACAAATTCACTAACATCTTCTTTTGAATAAGAACTAACTGTCATAGAAGTATTGCCTGTATATTGAATTATGGCTCTTTGTATTAATGTCATTGTATCAGAAACTGAATTATACAATTTCATAACAATTGGAAATTGATGGTGAACAATGTTTATTTCTCCACTTGAAAAGTTTGAACTTGCATTAATATTGTAAGCAAATAATAGTAACTTTGATCTATCGAAATTTTCTTCTTTCCACAATTTTTCCTCGTAGCGATTAACTTCAGACATATTTGAAAAATATACTACTTTTGGATTAACCCCTGTATCATCTTTGATGATTTCTTTCAATATTTCGAGAATTTCGGGAAAACAAACCGAATTAGCGCATGAATCGTCTTTGATTAAGCCAATACCGATTTCTGTTGGTTTATTGAGAATTAATTTTGTTGTTGAAGCGGGATGAGAAGAGGAAGCAATAACACTAAAAATATCAAGAATTAAAGATAGGAAGATTGAAAAGAGAGTTATAGAAATGATATATACCATATTTCCTCGATATATCAGTAATCTTCGATAGAAGATCGAATAAGCTACCTCAAAAAACTTCCACATCTTTTCCTTTTTATAAAAAATTTGAACAGAATTTCAAATTAATGCAAAAAATAGAAAGACAACATAAAACATTTTTAAGTATGCAGATTTAATTTCGATATTTCTGAATCAAATCAAATTGAGAGTAATAAACAAGAATCTTTGAGTGATTAATATATGTAATTGTTATGTGACGAAACAACCAATTATCTATAAATTTTCATTATTTCTTGATAATGCTTTATTTCATATTTGGCCTTTTCGTCTTATCAAATGTTGTTTTGGAAGGAAATTGGCCAGATACGTATTCTTCTGACGAAGCAATTGAGTTTATCAATCAAGTTCTTCCAGAATTCAAAGAAACAGCATTGAAAAAGATCCAAAGTGTCGAAAAGCAATCAATTGATACAATAATAAATGTATTAAACGATACAATTCCTGAATATGAACTTGGAATGCTAAATTATTTACTAAGAACAAAATATTTTAATCCAAGTGCTGTTTGTAATCAACGAAAGCTCAATCGAAAAGTGAAATTACCCTTTTATGGTGTCTATCATAATAATTCAAAGACTCTTCCTGACTCAACTAACTTTCATTTCAAATATATGTCAGCATTAAATAAATTCGATTCGCCGATTGATAAACTAAACTTTTTAACAGAAGTTTCAGCCAATTTTTCCATATACGCTCCTATAATCAATGATATTCCAGAAGATGTTTTACTTCGTGAAGAAATGAAGAAGAAAAAGTTCAATACAGGTACATCTTATATACTTCTCAATGGTAGACAGATCAGTATCAACGAGTTAGACATCAGTTCCGCCATGGTACAAGAATATAAAATGAAAAGAATCAGTCAAAACTTAGGATTAACAGATGAACAGTTTTCTCGACATTCAACGATGAGTTATTACAATAAATATGTTCGTACATATGCCAGAGCTCCTCCAAGTGATGCTTCATCTACATTATATGATCCTGCATCGAAACATTATAATAAACCAAAAAGAGAAAATTTTGATTTCTCATCAAATTCGAATTTCATGAATACTCCAAAGAAAATGGTTGAAATCAACATGATCATATTCCTTGATGATCCAGAGAGTCTCGGAATGCTTCGTTTGGCCTTCGACCTTGAAAAGAAATCAGAAAATTATTTGTTGAAAATTCATCCAACGGTTAGAAACTTAAATGACACAAAACAACTCCAAATCGTAACTGCTTTCTATCATGTTGCTTTCACAGTGTCATCAAGAAACTGTGTTGACTTTATCTTCGACATAATGAACGGAATGAAACCAGAAAAAGCTTATAAAAAGACAACACCAAATGACAAATATAAAGATGTGTTGAAACTCAAAGATGATGATGCCGCTGTACATGCTGTTCATAAGATATATAATTATACACAAGAGATGAACATTACTCAATCAACTGCACTTATAAATAATGTTTTCATCTCTCAAAAACCTTTCATGATGACGTTTTTGGATGAATTGGAAGGACAAATCAATGAATTAAAGAAATTCGCAAAAGCAGGTATTTTCAAAATGAATGACAACGTGGATGAGTTCTTAAGTAACAATAGTATCTATATTAAAGGAATGTATCCACCTCTGAATTTGAATGACGAACGTTTTGTTTTTGAATTTGATGATTCAAATCACATTGAAATTTCTGAAGCAATTGAAAAAATTCTGAAGTCGGAAAAGATAATAAATGAAAACAATGAAACATTACCTGTTGCCGTAACGTATGGTTATGATACTAATGTTAATGCAACAGCTGTTATTCATCAAGAAGAAATTCCTGAAGTTGTTAAAAAAGTTTTTAGACTTGACTCTAAAAAAGCAACAATTATTCCACCATTTGTTTTCGATAGACAATTAACAGATGATGAAATAGATTACGCATGCAAGGTAGTACAGAAAACATATATGATTTATTTCAATACTTCTTCATTGGTTGAAAGAACATTTGCTTTGTTTTGGAGAGGAGATAATCACGTGAAGAAAGCTTGGAGATTTAATGTTAAACCTGAAAACGCGATTATTGATATAAACAAAGAACATCCTCTCCAATTCATTGTAGAACAAAGTCCTTTGTCTGATTCTGCACCACAAACATTTATTCCTCTTTCTAAAATCGTAAAATACGGTGCTGGAGGAGTTAAATATTCTTGTGTTTGGCCGACAACAAATGGAAACTTTGTTGGTGAATCATTATGGTTTATGTACACTGTTCCTAGTGATGATTGCATTGTACAAGCAAATAACTTTAATATGATTGTTTATCCATCGGAATCTATTGGTGTTTCGAGAGTTGGAGAAACTTCTTTTCTTGTTACAAATTTGTTTGCGGAAGGATTGGCTTTGAAAGGCCAAGGAAACGTTGTTGACGTCAAAGATAAGCAGTATTATGTTTTGTCTAATGGTTTCTGTATTATTCCCGCTGCTCCGGGTGTTTATTCATCATTTAAGATGGACAGATTCGAATTCCATCGAATTTATCCAACAAGAACTGTTTTAAACAAAACAAAGATGAATATTGATGAAACAGCTTTTTTGATTACAACAAAAACTCCGCATCCAAGTCATAATTATGGCTTGAATTCAATGAGATCGGCATTGAGTTTAAGGATACCAGTATTCACGCAAAAACCAGAAGATTATCCATTTATTCCTTTACCTAATTTCGTTCCAAGATTTTTGGATAGGAAGGAAGATCCTTCTCTTTGGCCTTTCCAAAAGTTTATCTTTTCCAATCTCATTTTCCCAACATCTGTCAAGCATGTTATCATATCCGATAATGACGTGCAATGGCTGGATGACTTGTATTACGTCTGCAACAGCGACATGAAAGACAATGCAATGATTATTTCTTCTGTAACATCAAGGAAATTAAGTAAGGAAAGACAGAAGGAAATAAACAGAAGAAATGGAAGACCATTGATTTCAGGAGCTGCTTTTATTATAGATATCAATAAATTCCACGAAATGAATGGTGGAAACTACATGTTTGATGTTGTAAGAATGCATCAAAAGGCAGGAGGATTGCATGGAAAGAGAGGAAATAACATTATGACTTTGATGCAATTTTACGTCCAATCTTTGATTGTTGAAGCTGAAATTGGTGTCCAAAGAGGTTTGTCTAATGGATTGGAATATCACAATGCTATATCAAGAGTATGGCAAGTATATGATTCAGATCCAGCTCCAAGAGATTATCTATGAAATTAATTTTATTTGTTTAAAATATTTTTCCACAGTTTGAATAAATGTATAGTAATTAACTTTCATAATTAAAAGAATGAAAAGATAAGCACATGGAATTCTTCTTGTTTATTGTTGCCCTCCCTCAAATTTTTCTTGGGCCCTAGATTTTATTTCCGTTCCCTTCAGCATCAATTTCTTTTTTTATTTATTCAAATTGATTCCAAAAAAGTTCTTCGATGTTTACTCAATGACATGCGGATTGCCAAACTTGGATTTATTTGTCAATTATGAAAAGACAAATGTCATCTATTCTTGTTAAATGATGATAAAACATAAAAGAGTACAACCTCTGGTCAAAATGGGACATCAAGGGAGATGCCACTGTTCAGGAGTTCATCGACCAGGCAAAGAAGAAATACAACGTCGTTGTTGATATGATCTACATGAACCCACCTGAGAAGCAGAGATTGAACACACAAGTTAAAGCAACCAATCAACAAGGGAAAGATATCTGTTAATGTTACACATGTTTGCGTCGACGATAGTGATCATGATGCAGAAACACTAGCTTTCCATATAGTTCTTATGCATTAAATAAAATCAACCATTTATAATCATTTTTAAATATTTTGGGTTTTACATGAGGTGCAAAAAAACTCGCAAAATATTTTTTTTCCACTATTTGATGACATATCTAACAAGATCGAGATTTCCATCGGCACAGCTTGAACTCCATTAGCATTAGCTTCTTTAAGTAATTCAATGCGTTAAATTTTTTACGATGAGTTAAATTTTATATATCGGCGTGTAGATTGCTTCCTCTGGCTTTCGACATCAACCATGAATATTATCACTATTATAGTATTTTTCATATTGTTATTATAATTGGATGCTTTTCCTCCCTATTTTCAAGGAAAATGAATATTTGAAATTAAATATCATTTAGATTGTTCCAAATGGATGATTGGATTATAGAATTTATTACAGTTAATCATTTTGGATGAAAAGATAATCCAAACTGCTAGATAAGTAGCAAAGATATTCAAATTTTGTATTGTTTTTACAATTTTTTAGTATATTTCGCATATATAATTTATCATATAGAAACATATATCTTATCCCTTCCATCAATTTGTTGTTTTTATAAACTTTGCGTCAGAAATGCCAAAATTTTAAAATCATGTCAAGTTCAGAGCAACTAAAAAATGAAAACGAATATTATTTAAGAGATGCAGATACAATTGAAGTATTTAAATACCCTAATCAAGCTTCAAAATTGATTTGGAGTATCGATTCCAATAATATTTTACAAATTTCTGCTCAAATTATAGAATTTATTAAAAATAACAAAATATCTATCAAAATGGCACTTTATTTGATTAGTAATTTTTCACATATTCGTGTTAAAGATATTAAATTATTTGCAGAATTATATTTAAATATATCAAAGGAATTTTCATGCATTATCAAACCAGAAACTTATAAATTAGCAATGCTATTATGTTACAATGGCTTGAAATTTGAAAATTTCGAAAAATATGCAGTTATAGAAGGAAACATAAACATTTTTATGGAAAAGATAGAAAAAGAGAACACATTTGCAAAAACGAATAATATGGAATTATGTTGTCATGAGTTAGAAATTGGAGAGTACCTTAAATCATATTTTGGACGTTCTCCTAATTCAATAGCAGAATGTATGTATTTCGGTAACTATGATGTTGCTTCGTTTTTGATTTCTAATGGAGCAGATATCAATGATATTTACATTATTTTTCTTTTCAGATTTATCATTGTTTAATGATATTCTCTTTCTTTTCAAATTTATGATTATTTAAAGAAATTCTCTCAATATTAATGAATGTCCTCTTAATATTGCAATCAAAACAAATTCATTCGAAATTGTCCAATTCTTAGTTGAGCATGGTGCAAATGTTAACATGAAACTTATTCTCTTTATTTTCATATTTATCATTGTTTTATAGGATTCTCGCTCATATTTTTCACTGTTTTGTTACATTTTCCTTCTTTTCAAATTTATCATTGTTTTAAAGGATTCATCTTCTTTTTACATTATTCATTGTTTCATGAAATCCGCCATATTTTCATATTTTTCAATGTTTTATAAAGTATTCTTTCTTTTAATATTTAGCATTGTTGCATTGGATTCTCTCAATATTAATGTATGCCCTCTTAGTATAGCAATCAAAGCGAACTCAATCAAAATTGTCAAATTCTTAGTTGAACATGGTGCTGATGTTAACTTGAAATTTATACCTTTTCTTATCACATCATAACATAATTTTATGTAATTCCCTTTCTTATCATATTTTTCTTTGTTTTAAGAGATTTTCTAACTTTTCAAATGTATCTTTATTTTATAAGATACTTTTTCTTTTCATATTTTTCTTTGTTGTACGTGATTCTTTTTCTTTTCATATTTATCATTGTTTTATAATATACTTATTCTTTTAATACTTCTCATTGTTTTATTCGATTCTCTTTCTTTCCATATTTATCATAGTTTTATATGATTCTTTTTCTTATCATATTTTTCTTTGTTTTATGTGATTATCTTTCTTTTCTTATTAATCATTGTTTAATGGAATTATGTTTCTTATCATGCTTATCATTGTTTTATATGATTCTCTTTTTTATCATATTTATCATTGTTTTATATGATTCTCTTTTTTATCATATTTATCATTGTTTTATATGATTCTCTTTTTTATCATATTTGTCATTGTTTTTTATTACTTTCTTTCTTTTCATATTTATCATTATCTTTTCGTATTTTCATTCATTTGATATTTATAATTATTTTGTAACAACCTCTTTCTTTTCATGTTTATCATTTTATTATGAAATTCTCTAGATATTAATGGATGCCCTCTAAGTATGGCAATCAAAGCGAATTCAATCAAAATTATCAAATTTTTAGTTAAACATGGTGCAGATGTTAACATGAAACTTATTCTCTTTCACATCATATTATTCATTATTTAATATGATTCTCTACACATTAATGGACTCCATCTTGAAGTAGAAACCAAAAGTAAATCAAGCGAAATCGCCAAATTCCTAATTAAGAATCGTATAAAGGTTGACATGAATTTTGTTTTCTTTCATTTTCTATTTATCAATATTTAATATGATTCTCTATCATCCCACGTTTTTCAATGTTATATGAAATTCTCTCGATGTTAATAGGTGTCCTCTTTGCTTTGCAATCAAAGCAAATTCAATAGAAATTGTCAAATTCCTAGTAGAGAATGGTGCTAAAATAATCAAATATTGAAAGAAGATATAGCAGTTTCCACATGATTTAAGAATAAACATTCCATAATAATTTACCATATTACCCATGCACAAACCACTTTCTGACATTCTCTCATGAATACTTTCTATCTTGTTAAGAGGATATTGTTCTTTTTAGATTTAATATTTTATATGAGCATGCAATTCCAAGACATGAAATTAAAACAGAGCTACAAAAAGTCCAAGTATTAGTACAGTTATTTTATCGATGATTAACTATTATCAATAGATTGCCCTGAATATTATGCAACCAACAAATGAATAAAGCAATAAAATGCATGTTGGATTATTAAATCATATGAAATATTTTGAAAACTTATGATGTAAATTGACGTCAATATCACAAAATCGTACGAAAAACATTATATGAGCCTAGAAAAGGATCTCATATTGAGAAAAAACTGCTCCAACTCTAAAATGCTGTTAGAGTCACATTACAAATTGTAAACTTCAAATTGTCAAAATCATATTCCTCAAACTTAATGTTGAAAAAGTACTTAACACTCTTATACTATAATCCACTCATGCATATTTCAATTGATACAATGTTATTATTAATTAATGTGGAAAATAGTAAAACTTTTAATCATATGATTGATACAATCTGGAATCATTTATTAGAAAATAGTAAAAAAATTAATCATAAAAACAATTTATTCGTAATAAAAAAAATCGTTAAAAAAACTTATTCTTTGTGAACTCTCTGAGGAATCTTCAAGCGGATTATGTGTCCTCTCTCGTTGAAAGCTGACATGTTCACGTACTTTAAGTTTCCACTTGCAGCGAGTGCTCCAATATTCGTCCACTGTCCGAAAACGTTGCTTGGCTGGTAATTTGATAGAGAAGCCTTTCCAATCGAACTCTTCCTTATAGATGAGTGCGATTTCTGGCTCTTTGTCCTTGTCAATCCTTCAGTTATGATTTTAATGAATCTTTTCAGAGATTCGTGGTCAGTTACTGAAGTTCTCGCCAACTCTCTAAGTCCTGCTGATTCGAAGTTGAATCCCGTTGTTCCTGAGAGTTTTCCTGAGAGAGAAAAGGCCGGATACTCTGGATCAATGTATGCATCTATAACTTTGCTAGCTAATGACTCTTCCGGAGGAAGAATTACTGGAATATCTGCAAATGCAAAGTATTTAACGACATCAAGGAGTGGAAATGCATCATAGTAATCAGTATTAAGTTCAGATGGGAAGAATGATACACATTCCATTAAATATGATGTTATTTCTGAATTATCTCTCAATGTTAACGCCAAAGCAATGTTATATAGGAAACTGACCTTGTAACCATCAAGATCTAATGGTCCAACACCTGATCCATCCTCTCCATATGAGGAATGAAGCTGAATATCTTGGATTGGAATTTTTCCAAAGATTGAATCGGCAGCTTCAACGTATTTTTTGTCTTTGGTAATCTCGTAAAGTGCTAGTAACTCAGGAAGTCCAGCTACTATGTTAGAAATCGAAGTTCCATTAAGCCAAGCTTTTTTCTTGCAGTTTCCGTTCTGTAAGTCAAACATATAGCATTGCTGGTATTCGGATTCTTGGTATTTGAGCATTTGATCGGCCATTTTTATCGCTAAATTCTTAAATAATTTATTATTTGTAATTAAATAAGATTCGATTAGGGATCCAACACCTCTAGTCCAATACTCGTGCACATTAACCCATTTCAAAGTGGAAACATCGTAACTAGTCTTCAAAAATTGTAAAACTTGATTATATTCTTCTTTTAAGCCAAGTAGGTATAAAGTTGAAATGGATTCAAGAAGTGAGGCTTTGATACCATATGAATTAATACATTTACGCCTGTTAGTATAAATTTCGTCAAAATTTTTACAAATACTGAAATAATTATTAAACATCGTCTTGATCATCGTTTTTAGGACATTAACGGAGGGATTTGATTTATCAAGTTTTGTATTCATCGATGATGAAGATGGAATTAGATTCGATAACCTTTCAAAAACATCAGGATTCTGTGAATAAAGTATAATTGTCATGGTAACTAAACTTGTGCAGATACCTAATGCTATATATTTCAGAATCTTCCTGAAAATTTTTCGCGAGTAAAATGGTTTCTTTTTCATTTATCAAAAATGAGCCAATTTCTCAACATTTCGGCTTGGTACCTATATTAAATTGAGCCTCTAATCCTTTGGCATCTTATCATTATGGTAATATCATATTATATTTGAATTACAGTTTCTTAAATTACTCATCATAACTAAGCTAAACTAATGCTTATATAGCACTAATTTCTTACAAAAACCTCTAGAAAAGCATTCATTCAACGAAATTGATATGATTTCATAAAAAATCCAGCACAATTCATAGATAATGAATTCTAGCATAGTTATTGGCTTAATTCGAAGAGAAAGACTCTATTACCATATGCTCTATAAAAATTTCCAATCATAAATTAGAATTTGATAAGGAGAATATCATTGGTTATGCAAATAAGGCTCGCACACAACCAGTGTGATAAATAATTTTATTGCAAAACAGATAATGCCTCTGTTTTGAATGTGATTATGTATTATGAAGGAAATTTGAGTTGAAAATTACTTTGAATAAGTTAGTGAAATACAAATACAACAAAACAATCTCTTAATTTTGAAAAATGAAATAAACGGTCAATTTGAGAATGCTTGATAGAGATACTCTTCGTGCATTATCTGGAAATTCTCAAGATCCAGGAAGATATCACTTTGATTTATCTAAGATTAATAAGCAAGAAAATCGTCCTTTCTTCAATACTCTTCAAAAATTCGCAATTAAAAATATTGTATCCCTCGGTTTTTCAGCAGAAGAACTTAAAAAAGCAGAATCAAAGGCAGTAGCTGGTAATGCACTTCCTCCAGAAGTTTCAAACTCTATTGCCGTTGCTCACAAAAAAACTTACATTAAAAATATTGTCACACTTATTCAATATTTATTAAAAGAAGGCAGAATCACAAACATTCACGAAATAGTATTAAATGCCTTACCATTAACTCAAGATCAAATTACAGAGCTCGCAATTTCTTATTCAACTTCAAATCTCGAAAGCATTGTATTTCAGAATATTCCTCTTGGTGATGGTGGCCTTAATACTATCTTAGCTTACTTAGATCCAAATAGGATCAAAGCAGTAACTTTCCATCGTTGTAATCTTTCTCCTGCTGCTACATCTAAGATCTTGACGTTTATCTCTAAGCGAACATCAGATCAAGGCATTAAGGAGTTTAACGTTTCCAAAGTGGAATTTTCTCAAGAAGATCGAAATAGAATTGCCGAGGCTCTTAAGAATCAAGGGCAAGCAGACGCTCCTACAAACGATTCACAAAGAAAGGCATCACCGAGTAAATCATCTCCAAGGAAATCTTCACCGAAAAAGAAACAACCTACTTTATCTCCAGAAGGGCAGGAATTACAGAAATTACGCGAAGAAAATGCAGCATTACGTGAACAACTGAAGAACTTACGTGATACTGTTGATGCTGTTCAATATAATGAGAACGTTTTTGTTGTAGGAAAAGGTGCTGAGGAATTTATCAAGTTCTTGAATACAGTAGAGTCTAAAATAGCGAAGTTGGAAGAAAAGAAATCTTTTAATGATATTTAAAATCATGTTTATTTTATTATTATTTAATAATTTATTTTTTTGAAACAATTTTAGTGATAAGCCATTAGGAATTTAGCTAACAATGCAATTTTTATTTATACCAAACACGCGAGTTAGGTCCATATGCGTGCGAAATAATAAGATTTGCTATTTCTTTACTTTTTGCTGCAGCTGCATATGAAAGAGGGCAATATCCATTTTTATCTTCTGCTTTCACATCAGCACCATGTAAAATAAGAAAACTTGCTATTTCTTGACTATTTAAGGCAGCCGCAATATGAAGAACTGAAATGTTGTCTTTATCTTTTGCATTTACATCCGCATTATTTAAAATAAGAATTTCAGATGCTTCTCTACCTTTCGCTGCAGCTGCATAATGAAGAGGGCTTCTTTCAATATTATCTTTTGCATCAACATTCGAGCCATGTAAAATAAGAACTTCGACAACATCTCTAGAATTTTTGCCAGCCGCATGATGAAGAGCAGTGCGCCCATTTTTATCTGTTTCATTAATATTAGATCCATGTAAAATAAGAATTTCGGTTACTTCCTTAGAATTATATTCAGCTGTTATATGAAGAGCAGTAAGTCCATTATTATCTTTTTCATAAATATTGGCGCCATGTAAAATAAGAAGCCCTATAATTTCTTTATTATTAGAAGAAGCCGCATAATGAAGAGGAGTTTCTCCAAAATTGTTTTTAGAATTAATATTGGCACCATGAAAAATAAGATCCTCTATCACTTCTTTGCAATCAGCCAAAGCAGCATAATGAAGAGGTGTTTTCCCATATTTATCTTTTGCATTAATGTCGAAACGACTGATATTATCTTGATCTTTTTTAGTACCAAAATCCATATAACAACCGTGTAAAATAAGAAGATGCACTGCCTCTTTGCAATTATTTCCTGCTGCATAATGAAGAGCGGTGAATTCTTTTTATCTGTTTCATTAATATTAGCTCCATATAAAATAAGGAGTTCAACTAAATCTTTGCAATTGTTTCCAGCTGCTTTATGAAGAGCTGTAATTCCATCATTATCTTTTTCATTAATATTGGCACCATGTAAAATAAGAAGCTCGACTAATTCTTTGCAATTAGATCTCGCAGCATAATGTAGAGGGCTTTTTCCTTCTGAATTTTTTGCATTAACGTCATTACCTAACATAATAGCAAATTCTGCCATCTCTTTATTTAGATTTTCAGTTGCCAAATGAAGAGCAGTGGTCCCATCTTTAGCTGTTATGTTGATATCAGCACCGTGTGAAATGCGAAGCACTGCTAAGGGCATATTGTTAAATACAAAAGCTGAATGAATTGGGGCAATTCCGAATTCATTTTTTTCATTGATATCGATCCCATATGAAATAAGTATTTTTACCACTTCAATATCATCGTTTGCTAACGCTGATTGGAAAATTGAGAAGCCATTAAAATCTTTTGCATTAATATCAGCACCTTTGGAGATAAGAATTTGTAATAGTTTAGGAAAAATTTTAGTGCTACAGTTCTGAGCTACATAATGAAGAATAGTTTGCCCATTATTATTTTTTGCATTAACATCTGCTCCAAGTAGAATAACGTGTTCAACCATTTCTGGAACACCAGTGCCTATTGCATAGCGAAGAATATTGTTGCCATTTTCATTTTTTATATTAATATCTGAAATATATAGCAACAAATAATCAACCAAATCAGGCATGAAAAACAGAGGAGAATAAAGAAAACATTTCTTCAAATCATTTGTGAAACCTAGATTAACAAAAAATGCATAAATATTCATCCACTGTACGCAAATGAATGGATCAACCTCAATTTCATATTCATTGCTCAAATATGAAACAAAGTCGATGTTGTAAGATATAATTGCATATTTCATGCATTCTTCTTCTGGACATTGAACTTTCAAACATTCAAACATAATTTCTTGGTTTCCGCTCAAAAACGAAAAATGGAGACATTTTTCAGTAATTTCTGAATTGAACTTTGTTCTTAGTATCTTAAAACAATTAACTGCTCCATAATAACAGCATAATTCAAGAAATGAATACCCAGTTTTTGATTCCGGAAATAAATCATTGAAGAGCTTTTTATCTTTGTTGAATCCATCACTTTCTATGAATGTAATAAATGAATCTTTCTCATCATTCATGATCGCCATGTAAATTGAATGGTCTTCAAAAATGTTCATAGATAGATTTTCATTTTCATATTTTTTAAATCTTTCTCGATATTTTTCATCTAAAAGAATTCCATATTCTTTATAAAAGAAGTAATGTAGAATAGGATCGAAAATAATATTCTTTGGAGTTATTTTAAAGTCTTCATAAATCATTTTGAAAATGAACCAATATGAACTTAAATAAAGATTATTATATTTGTATGCATTATCAATGCATATATATAACATTTCTGGCCGAAAAGTTGTATTTTCAAGAAATTTTGTTTTAATCATTTGATAAATTTGTTTCAATTCATTGATATCTTTTGTTTTGATACGCATGAATGGTGTCATTGATTCCTGATAAAAGCTATATTTTGCCATAAGATCTTGGACAATTTCATCCACAACTTCCTTTGCAGCCATGGAAAATTTGAAATTATATAATCCAGCTGAGTTTCAACATTTAAGTTTCCCAGCAAAAAAAATGTTGGCAATTTTAAAGAGTGCCAATGGAGTTATTGTAGAGTATATACCTTTAGTTTCTTTAAAATTATATTATAAAATAGAAGTTTACTGTATTTTATTTCTGATGCATAAAATAGAGAATTTATGCCCATTTGAATTTATTAAAATCGAAGTGCTCAAGTGAATCAATGATGTATGTTGGAACAGCTTGTTGATCTGCAAGAGATTTTTCGATATCGAGGTGCTCATCTGGAACAAAAACAGAAGGCATTCCAGCAAGGTTAGCAGCCTTAATTCCAAGTGGAGAATCTTCAAAAACAAGAGCCTCTTCTGGCTTAATTCCTGGGAATTTAGCAAGAGCAGCAAGGAAAAGATCTGGAGCTGGTTTTCCATGCTCGACTTCATCACCACAGACTGTTACGTCCATCATTGCAACAAAATCCTTATGGCCAGATGATTTCAATGTAAAACCTGGTCTGTTTGATGCTGTAGCAATTGATAACTTAATGCCACGCTTCTTTAATTCATCGACAAGAGCCTGTGCGCCCGGCATTAAAGGAATTGTTGGCCAATATTGGTCAACAATCTTTGTACGGCGTTCACAAAGGGATTCTGGTGATTCCGTAAGATGGTAATGCTCGCACGTTAATCTGCAGGCTTCAATTGGTGTTTTTCCCATGAGATTAACTTTGAAATCCCACTCAATATCATATCCGGTGCAAATTTTGTGTGCAACGGAGTAAACCCACTCTGTATTCATGAGTGTGCCATCGTTATCGAAGATGATAAGCTTGATAGGAGTTTCGTGAAGCATAGTGACACTTTTTCATTTCATATACAATAAACAATCAATTGTTTTTACGGAATTATAATCTAGATAGTAAGTACATAAATTTTACCAATTTTATATTCAATGTTGTCAGGAAAACTCTTGAATTTTAGTGTCCTATTTGTCGGATTGAGGAAATTTCGATAGATTCTACTTCAAAACAAGATGCATGCTATATTCTTGAAATAAAACAAATAAAACTTAAATATAAAATTAGATTACAAAAAGTTTGCTATTGGTACATCAATCTCAGCAGGAATGAAGCCTATGAAGATATACTGAACGATTCCATTTATAATAAAGCGTACCGTACTATACTAATAAAAAAATTTGATCATCAAATTGTGAATTATACACATTGTGCAATGCAATTCTAAAAAATAAGAGATGGTATGCATAATCAATACAAAATACAAACAAATATTTAGATATATATCAAATAAATATTATTATACTAATAGCTTAATCTGAATGAGATCAAGATCATCTCTGAATTTAGCTTTTGATTTTGTTGGCTCTGTGTTATAAGTTAAAGCAACATCAGATGACAAGAATAATGATGTTAATGCTAATAAACGTTGAACAACAAAGACATTTGATTCAATCAAGCCTGCTGAAAATGTTTGCTGAACAATTTGGTGGAGAGCAAATATTTTATCTCTGATAGCAAGGAAATCAGCTGTATGAGGATCAAATGTTGAGTAATTGAAATCGAATTGTGCAAATAATTCTTTCAAAGGTCTTCTCAGCCGTTCTATTGTTAAAACAGTTCGTGCTTGTTTCACAAATTGTTCCATCATTACAGGAATATATTTTGATGGTTTTGGCGGCAATTGGGAATCAATGAATCTTCTTGCATCATATGTCATTCTGTTGAGAATCTCAATAGCAATAAAGCTATTGTTTCCTTCTGGAGAGCATATTTCATGAACAAGAAGTGTTAAAGAATTTAATAATTGTTCATATTCCATGTTTTCTGGAATAATTTCATTATGCATGAGAGTTTGAGCCAAATCGGAAACAACATTTCTCAATGTTTCTCTTCCACTGTTGATTGCTTCTTTTTGCTGCTTGATAATAAATTCTCTTGCATGAGCATTATCACAAACATCATCAATCATTGACTGTATTGAAGATGAAATATCAACTAAGTCAAGATCTTCTGGCGCTGTATCATTTTCTGGTTTCTTTTCTTCTGCTAAACGTTTGTAAACAGAATTAAAAGTGAATCTTGCAAGCTTCAACTCTGTTTCAAGTCTATCAACAACAGGTTGGAGAGGATTAGGCATTTCATCAATGGCTTTCATCATCATTACTAAAGATTGATCTTGTGGCATTCCATCTGTTTGGAAATCTGTTTTCTGATTCATCCATTTCTCAACAACTTTGAGTAAATTATTTGCTTTGTTTAAGTTATACTCCAAAGTTCTATATTTTGCCAGAATAACTTTGAATTTACGAACAAATATGTTATCCTGATTTTCATTTGGACTATCAGGAACAATCTCACGCATCATATCAAGTAATTCTTTCATTTCATTTCTCAGTTGCAACTTAGTTTTTTGAATGGCATCTCTTATTTTATCATCAAAACTCCTCTTCATATTTTCAATTGTTTCATAAAGTTTTCTAATCAACGCTTCTGGGTCATCTATGTTATCAGGATTTCCTCCAAATTTTCTAATGCTTTCTGCTATATCTTGAAGAAGTTTCTTGTATTTATCCTGCAGATCATTGTTATTTGCACATAAATTCGCGTGTTCTTCTGTTAAAGTGTTAAAATTATTTTTCAATTTGTTATATTCTTCAATGAAATAATCAATTGCCTGAGGGAAAGACAGATTCTTTGGAAGATCAATTGTTGTTTTAATTTTTCTTTTGCTTTCTCTTATTATCGATTCATATTCATTTGTTTTGTTAGTTCGCTTTTCTAATACAAAAATATCCATTTTCTTCTTTTCTTGAACCTCTTCATCCTTAGGAATTAAATTTTCAATTCCTTCAACTTCTCTCATGATTTTAGACATCTGTTGAGAGACTTGATTCGAGAAATTCGAGCAAGTTATTTCATTGTTTTTGTGTCTAAGTTGGAATATGATTTGTCTTTGATGTGTTAGTTGTTCAAACTGTTGTTTTTTATCCTTTTCTAGTTGAGAAATTTCATCTTTCAAATTTGCGATTTTTTCCTGTAAACCATCGATTTCTTCTTTGTGTAAATTCATTGTTTCTGCTCTGTCTTGAATCATCTCTTGGATTTTTTCACTCTGAGCATGTATTTTCTTTATATAAGAGTCTGTTTCACGCTGCTGTGTTTCGATTAAATTTAATTTTTCTACGAAACAATCACCGAATTTTTGGAGACGAACTGTAATATCTTCATTTGGCTCAATATCTAATCCTAATTGCTGTGATATGTTATCAATGAAAAGATCTAATTTTGCTGCTTTAGAAATGTCTGTTTTGAGTAAATCATCTCTTGTAAATTCAATGATTTTATCAAAAATATGACTTGGTTGTGATTTCATCATATTTTCTTCCAAAATTTTGGCTTCTTGAGCCTCTCTAATGACAATTTCTGGGAGTTTCACAGCTTGAAGAATGTCTGAGAGAATGTCATGAAAAGAATCTGATGTTTCAAGAATCCCTTTCATATCTGCTTCAAAAGAAAATCCACAATGTATTGAACACAAAATTTCTCCGCAATATGTGTTGAAATCAGTTCTGAATGCTTGTAATTCAGTTTGCATATATCCACTAAAAGTGAACATTTGAAATGCTACGTCATTGTAGATTTTAATAAAATTTCTCAGATCATTAATTTGTGTTTCTTCTAAATCAGGTGCGTTTCGCATAATTTCTCTATCAATTAACATACTTTGAATTGCATTCTTATTATGTGACATTAATTCTATTATATTCTGACCAGATTTCAATAATTCCCCTGTTCTACTGCAAGTCTTTCTTGGGCGTGTAGTAATTGAGTTAACATCACGCTCAATTTTGCTAAATTGCTTATTTACGTAGTCTGTAAGAGATTTTAATCCATCATTTTTAATTAAATTAATCAAAGCACGAAATTCCTTCCACCTTTGAAGAACATGAAGAGAAATCTGCTTTAATGTAGTTAGACTTATTCTACAATAGTCATCTTGAGAGGTGCAAGCATCAAATTTATGATAAATATTCATAATTTCATCGAAAAGAGGTTGAAAAACCTGCTGTAAATTCTTTGCTTTTTGAAGAAAGTTTGTATCTACTAAGATATAAGAATGATTTTTTTGTATCAATGTCTCTATTTTATCAGCAAGAGTTCTAAGTAACGATTTCAACGATTGAATCTTAGATTCAACATCTCGCGTAGATTCTGATGATTTTTTCTGCTTTTTAGAAATTGAAGATTTTGATTCTTTTCTTCTTGCAGATTTAATTGTTGTAGTACTTGCCTGTTGATGTATAGCATTCTGTGTTGCAGGAATAAAAGGTTTAATTGAACTTTGTGCCCGGTTATTTGTTTTGGGCAAATTTTTCATTTAGTTTACAAAAATTTGTACGTTTAGAACCCTCAATTTGCTCATAAATCTGTGTAAAAAGAAAAATTATGCATTTCTCTGCGTGCAATAAGCAGTATACATTTACTATAATGCAAGTGCTGTAATATGATTCGAAAATAGCTCATTAACAATGGCAACTTTCATTTGAATAGTTTACGATAATTTTAAATTCAAAAACAGTAATACGATAACCTGAATATTACTATAATTTTAAAGAATTATGTGTAATAAACAGAAATTCATCAAAAGTGACAGCTCTCAATTTTTTGACATTTGTAAATTCTAAATTGAATGAGAAAAATGAAATAATACTAAGCATAATACAATATTCTAGATTTAATTATAATTAGGAAAAAGTTAGTTTTGAGAGTACTTTTCATAGGCATATAGAATGAAATCTTCTGAAAAATAATATCACATAAACTCATATTATTTTCTAATATATAACTATTTTATATAAAAATCAAATTCAATGATCTTAAAAGCGAAGGATAAACCTCAAAATTTACGAATATAATGAGTGGGAATATAATGCTTATCTATCATAAAACCATATGAAATATCAATTTTTGCTTTACGCCTAATTTTTGACGACAATTAGCAAAAAATGTTAAATGTTAACACTCAGTCCATTTGAATATGAAAAATAAAATTGACTTTGATTAAATGTTTTTATTTATCATGCAATTCTTCTTGCGACCAAAGATTTGAATAAAATTTCAAAAAATAAGATAGCTTAAAAAATAATATACGGTAGTGTTTACTAATAGATGAATAGTATATAAATTCTATTAAAATGGATTTGATCCAAAAAAATATATAAAATTTGATCATAAATAAAATCGTTTTAAATTACTTCTTCATTTAAATTATAACAATTATTTTTGGTTTTATATTTTTTGAATCAAATCCATTTTAATAGAATTTATATACTATTCATCTATTAGTAAACACTACCGTATATTATTTTTTAAGCTATCTTATTTTTTGAAATTTTATTCAAATCTTTGGTCGCAAGAAGAATTGCATGATAAATAAAAACATTTAATCAAAGTCAATTTTATTTTTCATATTCAAATGGACTGAGTGTTAACATTTAACATTTTTTGCTAATTGTCGTCAAAAATTAGGCGTAAAGCAAAAATTGATATTTCATATGGTTTTATGATAGATAAGCATTATATTCCCACTCATTATATTCGTAAATTTTGAGGTTTATCCTTCGCTTTTAAGATCATTGAATTTGATTTTTATATAAAATAGTTATATATTAGAAAATAATATGAGTTTATGTGATATTATTTTTCAGAAGATTTTGTGTTCTTCTTCAAAATTTTATTTTTTTATTAAAAAGAATCTTTACAAAATATACATTTACTTTAATTAATATTTAAAAACGTGCTCTATCTAAAGTTCCAAAAATTCAATATTTTAGCTTTTCTGAGGTGTCACTTTTGATGAATTTCTGTTTACAACATTATGTGAAGGATTTCGCAAAATTGGCTATTCTCAAAAGTCGATTTAATTAAATAGTTTACAAATCCTTTCTTTTCTTTGGAAAATGAATTTCATAGTCTCATTTATATGTTACTACCTGGTAACTATAAATGTTTATACTTTCTTCTCTATAATCAAAAAAGGAGAACTCGCATCATTCAGCTTCAAACGTTTTCTACCTTCAAATTGGAATTGGAAACTGTTTTTTGTCATAACTTGGATGCTATCATTTTTTGTTCCTGCTCCTTTTAAAGATGTTTTCCTTTGGAGTAACTTTTCCTTTCCACTATTTCTTTTTTTACAAATCTTTGCAGCATTTACAGGGTATTTTATTTGGAGCAAACGACTTAATGATCACGAAATTGATGAAGCAGGCATTTCTGATACTTATTCTTTCTATATAGTTGCCGAATCAATTATTTTGTCCACATTATTTTCATTTTTAATTGCCTTTTTCAAAAACGTTTATGAATCCGTTGGTATACTATATGAAGATCAATTTTACCAATTAATTCGTCAAGGAACTGAGTACGATGACAATTTACCGATAATATTATCCTATTTATTAGAATATGCAATTCCATGTTTCATAATATCGATAATATTCATGGTAGTATTCTTTAATCTCACCGAATATTATTACAAAATCGGACATTCCAAAAAAGTTCATCATTTATCTTTCAGAATGCTTCCTTTGCCTTATATTGCATCCGCCATTTGTTTTTACTGTATGATTGTTAGACCAGTACCTGAGGCAGATCCAAATTCTCTCATTTTTGATCATATTATTATTCCAAATACAACTTTATTAAGTTTTCCAAAGAAAAAGAAGAATATTATTTATATTTCACTTGAATCACTTGATACTGTTGTGTTTCATGAAAAATACGGTGGTTGTTTCGATAGAGAAATCATTCCTTTCATGGAAGATTTAGCATTAGATAAAAATAATGTTCATTTTTCACATTTGAAGTCTCCAAATCTTGGCGGAATGTCTATACCTCCTCGTCTTGATTTTACACTTGCAAGTGCATTTGGTGCTTTATGTGGTGTTCCTTATATGGGTAAGAATGATCGGAGAGAACATACTGATGGCTTTTTGAATCATTTTACTTGTTTAAGCGATATTTTGAAAGAAGAAGGATATATAACATCAGCAACTTTTGGTACAGGAATAGGTGATTTCGGATATGGTCATATATTTGATTTCCATCAATTCCAACGCATATTTTCGAATAGAGATATAAGAAGAACTTCTCAATGGTTAGAAGATAAATATACATATGAATTTTTCAAAAATGAGTTGAAATATCTTTCTTCTTTGAATCAATCTTTCATGGCATTCATGTGTACATTGGATACCCATGAACCAGGACATATTTGCGATTTATGTCCAGATACAAAATCTGATGCAGCAACAAGATCAATTGAATGCGCTGATCGGCAACTGAAAAACTTCTTAGATTGGGCAAAGAACCAAAGATGGTATAATAACACTGTGTTTTTGATTTATGGAGATCACATTTCAAGAGATAAGAATTATAAGAGAATGGCTAAAGCTCATAACTATGTCAAAAAGTCTTATAATGTTATTCTCAATTCAGAAATGAAAACAAATAGAACTCATAAGAGATTATTTACTGTTTTTGATTTATTACCAACAGTATTGAATGCCGCTGGAGTTAAAATCAAAGGAAATCAATTAGGAATGGGAGTAAGTCTATTTTCGGATTTGCCAACAGGGCTTGAGAAATATGAAGAAAAATTTGAAAAAAGTTTTAATCAGATATCGTTTTGGTACGATACTGTAATCAACCACAAATCTATAAACTGTGAATTGGATGTTCCTTGTATTAGCTTAAGTGATTATTCATTAGATACGACATATGCTAATTTTACTGCATAGTATCAGTAACTGTTTAGCTTGTATTGGAATAAATATTATATATTGTTTGTTTTTCACTAAAAGTCTTATTAATTTTTGTGGAATATGAGTGAAATATGACTTAATTCATATTTATTGGATTGTATAGATGAATCAGCTTGTATCTATTTCATTAGCTTCAAGATCAGATCGAAAATCTTAGAATAGCAGTAGATTTCATTCAAAACAGTTTTTTTTTCTTCAGAATTTAGATGAATATTTCTCTTTCCTGTCTAAGGCTTTCTAATATGAAAAACGGGCCTATGTTTACGGGAAAGAGATTTCTGCAGTCAAACTATAAATTCTCCGAAATAGTTGCAAAGAAATTCGAGAATCCGTTTTTTTCATCCTTAGATTCTGCCAATTTTTATAAATCTACATTCACAAAGTTCTTAGATTCTGCTATATCAGTTAATTCAATCGAAATTAAGAATAAATTCGCAGCGCTTCCAGAAGATTTTTCATCAGAACAGCTCGTTATTATCAACAGGTGCAGTTTTATCAGAATATCGAACCAACACCCAGGTGCTATGGGCGGTGCTATCTTTTACAACTTGAAGAAAGGAAAATTAAAAATGTTTCAGTCACAGTTTCAATGGTGTTACGCGAAACAGAGATGTGGCGCATTCTTTTCGTCAGCAAAGTTATGCGTTGGTAGATCTCTCTGTCTTTTAGACTGCAGAGCTTCAAAAACTTGTATGGCCTTTCAAATAACAACAACTGCTTCGAAAGCGAGAGCTAACATTACAGCAAGTTTTATTACATTTTGTGGTGCAATTATTCCAAAAAGCGAAAAAGATCAAGTAAAATTCGAATTTGTATCTTTAGATCTCATGAATACGAACTTTACACAAAACAGAGTACTTCAGAGTGGATTTATTACACTACAAAAGCTTTATGATGCTGCAATTTCAAGATGCGATTTCAGAACTAACTATGGACCGAGTTTTCTTGAAGTTTACAGCTCTTTTGATATATACCTATCATATTCAAATGTTATTAACAACAATTTACGGCAAACTCCCATTGTTGTTTCATTTGAATCTCCAATCTACATAACCTACTCATATTTCCAGGATAATTTCAACTATTCTCTTGAATATACCTTCAGAACTGAAGAAGGCGGGTTAATAATCTTCGGAAATTGTTATTTTGACGCTCCGAAATCTCATTTCGGATATTTGAAGGGAGAAGTTAAATTCCCTAAGTGCAGATTTAACGTTACATATTCACAGTTCAATAGTTTCAATGACTACAGATTATGTGGCTTTTATACTGATCCTCCTGTAAGAACTCCTTCTCCTTCGCCATCACAGATTGTTTACCCATCGAGAGCACCAACTCCCACTATAGTATGGCTTCCAAAGTCACTGTATGTGCATCAGTTCTTACTAATTGTTACGATTTCGATAATGGGACCAATATTAATTTATGCAGTAATAACCAAGAGGAAATCTGCAGAAATCCAAGCATTTCAGACATAATATTTTAATATTCTGTTATTTGTTTTTTGTTATTTAGATTTTATAAAATTTGGTATTTTGTTTTTTTAGTCAATCAATAATATATTTAATTCACAACAACAAGAAAGTTCAAATTCTACTTGATTTTTTATCTCTTCTCCTTATTTGTATTTAGAATATTGTATTATTAGGAATGATTTTTAGTAATTTTTGCCGATTTAGTCCACACATCAGTTATCCCCAATTCGGTGAAGATTAATTGGCATGATATTTTGCAAATAGATATAGCTCAAATATTTATGGAATTCCTATGTAAAAAAGATAAAATATGTTGTCCAAATGATCAAACATCTCTTAAAGTTAGTCTCATTTTTTGCAGAATAGATACAATACTGATTTTATATTGCTATTATTCTTGAATTTCATGGTTAAACGTGCACACATAACTCATAGAAGCTTCATTAAACACTACCATTTGTCTGCGAATTCATATAAGCTATAATTTTTAAATTTCAATATTTTAAACTCAGAAATCATTATTAATCACAATTATATATACTGAATTAAACTTTTATTTTAAGATATAAAGCAAAAATAAATAGAATCAAAACTTAATAGACGAGATCGAACGGAAGCGCTCCATCGAAGACGGTATCGTGCTGTTTGTAAGTAGAAGCGTTCAAGTACTTAGTGTCGTACTTCCATGACTCAGGGCTTCTTGCGTATGAGTGTTCGTCGAACTCAATCTCTATATCAGAGACCTTGAAGTTGTCGAAGAGGTCGTAAGCTCTTCTCCTCATGTTCTCGACCATCTGGTAAGGAAGGGCGTAAAAGCCGCACTCCTGGTCGTTGTTTGGATACTTAGCAGCATCGACTGGTTTGAGGTATCTGTTGAGAGCCCAGAAAGGAACAGTCTCGATTCTGACTTCCTTCGGTGTTGGATCTTCCTCGCTCCATGTGATGAATCCTGTGGAGTGGAGTCCATTAGGAAGTTCGTAAGTATCGATTGTGTCGTCTGCTTTGCGCTTGAGTACGTAACTGTGATTGAATTGGCAGGTTGGGAAGTCAGTTGCGGCTCCAGCGAATACGTGCGAGCAGTTGAGAAGGTCTGCGTGGTTGGCAAAGCCTTTTCCTCTGACGCGCTCGATATCATTGGAGCATTTAGTAACATTTTTGTTGTTTTGAGTAATGCAATCGATTGTGGCTGGGATCCAGCTCTCTGGACCAAGAACGTTTGGACATTGTGTCATTTCGTTCTCGACTGTACGACGGCCCATCAAATATTCGATAGAATGACCGCCAGAGCCCCATGAGTTGTGGAGGATGAAGCAGCCCTTGGAGTTCTGAACGGAATTGTTGGTGGTAAAGCGGTTGTTGTAGCGCCAATTGTCGTTGTATCCGACAACATTCATTGCATGGCCACCAATTGAGTTCTGGCGGATGGCCTTGCCGATGGAAACGAATGTGCCATCGGATGTGTAGCCGTAGAAGAGTAATTTAGCGCAATATTTGTCTTCTGTCTGGGAATCTGGGCAAAGGAAGGATTTCTTGGTGCACTGCTCGAGGTTGGCGAAGTTTGGATCATCACATGATACGTAGTAAGCAATGGAACCAAGAGGAATGCCAATTCCGAGTGGGCGCTGCTTTGTATAGAGAAGTTGCTTGATATGGCGAGTATCGTATGCTGTTTCGAATGATTTGATCTTGAAGGAGATTGGATTTGCCTTAAGAGCGTCTTCGAGGTTGTCACATTTGAAGTCTGTTGATGGGCTTCCTGTTTCAATGTATGGGCAAACAGCATCTGGAACGATAGACTTGGAAAGGTTCTCTACGTCTTCGTAGTAGATTGGAAGGCCTTCGACTTGTCCATCATCTGTTGATGGCTGTGGTTTGAGGAAGTTACCGTAATGGCATTCCTTTGTATCTGGATGAGCTCTGCACCAATTGCCAAGGAATGCACCAAATGCTTGCATTGAGAATTTAACATATTCATCTGGCTTAAGATATCCTTGTTTGATGCCTTGAGCACGATATTGGGTTTCAAGAAGGTAAAGTGTAGACCATGCCCAGCATGTTCCACGTTGGGCTTGGTTTGTGGCTGGATTCCTATAAATTTCATCGACAGCAAATGAATCTGGAATAAGGGATTCTGGTAAAGCATCGTAGAATTTCTTAACAAGATCATCTAATGGTGATGGACGTCCGTTTGGAATGGCGTAACGAACTTTGTAAGATAATACAATTACGGCAATAAATGTAAGGAAAGCAAGAATGTTAGTAACGAGTATAGTAATTTTTGTCTTAGTCCATTTTGGCTTTTCTTGTGTATCTGTATTGTGAGTTTGTGTAGAGTTTAAAGAATCAAGCATTGGCTAAATTGTAAAGTTCTCAATTCTCAACCGATGTTGCGGTTGAAATGATTTTTTTCCCCCTTCAAAAATACACATCAACATGATTGATAGATTAATAACTTGTACTACACTTAGATACCTTGCCTGCGCATTATTTCTGGTACGAATTTGACAATTTTGCTCATTTGGAATTCGAAACAACTCGTATTATGATTCTTCTTAAGAATAAGTATATTTCCCTATCATATGTACGTCGGATATTTTCCATTTTGATCATTTGAAACTAATATAATATCCAGGGATGCCTGATCAATAATGTGCGCTTCAAGAAGGATAGAACCGTATATAGCATATTTTCAAATGAAAATGCATGTGTGAGGTATGTTGTAACTCTTTTAATGAATTATCGATGATCAAAGTTAAATATATTGAATTAGAGATCTAACATGATCCAATATGTTTTAATGTACGCAACAAAGGTATGCTTAACTATTATGCTTATATCTTTTATCATATTAAAAAAAAATACCTTTGTGTAGAGCCAAATAAAATCTAAAAATTTCTCTTAAACAATAAGTGATATGCAAAGTCTCATTCTCAAGCAAATATACCGAAATGATTTATTAAACGTGCACTAATGAATAAAAATGAACTTTTAAACCAACTTGTAGACAATATGTTTAAAGGAATCTCGAACAATGAGAGAGAAAGGCTTGTTAAACTGTGTAAAACATTTTGTCAAGCTCAATTACAGTTACATAACGCACATGCAATCATTTCTTGGTCGCATAAATGGAAAAAACAATTAAAACCAGAAACAACTAACGAACTAGATGTAATTGTTAAGAAAATGCCATCAGATAAACTACAAATCTATCGATTATTAGATCTTTTAAAATTTACAAAGAATACTTTTGTCATTACTAAAGCAAATCCAGAATTTTCAAGAGTTACAAGAAAATCACGTCATTTTATATCAGAAAATCAGCTAGTTAGCGAATTAATTTTGTTACTTAAAGGAGGAAAATCTTCAATTTTTACGATACAAAACTATCAATATATGATAGATGGATTGATAATGCCACATCACATAAATTGCGTAAGTAAAATCATGTCTAACTGTATTTGCATTGATACATTGAATAGTATAATAGGAAAATTGTACGGTATTGTTGGTCAATCAGTCGAGACAGTTCTACAAAAGGAAAAGAACGAATATATTACAGAGATGCAATCACTTACATCAGAAATGTCACTATTAAATTTAATGGCATACTCATGTGGTCCTATCAAGCAGTCATTAGAAGCAGCTGCTTTTATTGCATACACTATACTCAATTCAGATGAAGACGAAGATATTTTTTCCATCTTAAAAAGTGCATCGAATCATGGATCTCCAGCTGTAAATAAAGTGGCTCAAAAATGTTTTAATGAAGCTAAAAGCGCATATACAGATATTGTTTGCGACTGGGTTTTATATGGAAGACTAGCCGATCCATATAATGAATTCTTTGTTCTTGAAAACGAAGAACATATCAGAAGCTGCGATTGGTGGGATAACCAATACTATATAGAGCCTATTCGCATACCATCTTTCGTTAAAAGTGATACTCTTGCTGCTCAAATTGCATCATGCGGAAGAGCATGGAATTTTATTAGATACTTCAAACGCATTGCTATGGAAAATGGCGGTGCACGTGCATCTTTGATGCTTCATGCACAAACAGAAAGTTTAGAAAAGAATTTTGATTTAAATCTTCTTTCAAAGTATTCGAATGAATCAATGAAGAATGTTTTAAACATAGTTAAGAATATCATATGGCTTCCAGGTCATATCAAAACGATCACAGACTTTATTCTTCTTCGAAGAGGAGATTTCGTTGTTTCTCTTTTTGAGAATTTCCTTCATGAAGGTGCTCCTATTTCCCTTCTTGATCATGTCATACGTGATATATGTCAAGATTCTGTTTACATCAACAAGAGAACCTCAGAAAACACAACTCTTTGCATTGATGTAAAAATGACTGCGAGAAACGAAATCGACAATTCTCCAGAAGCTGTAATTCTCCATTACAACGCGCCGACTGATTTGACTTATATATTGGATGACTCAATTATTGATTCATACATTCAAGTTGGTCGTCTCATTTGGTCCCTCAAATGTTGCGAAAGAAGATTGTTGATGAACTGGCAAAATTCACGTTTGTCTGCATCATCATTCTCAAAAATTGATTTCAGCGACACTAATGTTTTACAATCAGCATTGAGATTTTCAATTATCACTGCTGTCAGATCTATCTCTGAGTTCTTCACAATGGATGTGATTTCAGTAATTCAGAGAGAGTTAATGATCGGAATTGATCAAGCTGATAACATTGATAAACTTTTATCATTGATCAGAATGTCAGCCAACAAATTGAAACTTGAGACATTCGTCACTTGCAATATTCAGAAATTTATAGATTTTCAGAATGCTTTAAATATATTACTGAATGTTGTCAATGATTATAATATCATTGAAGAAGATTTTATCGGAAATCTTTCTGAACTGGAAGACATGTTGGCTGACAATTCAGCAGATTTTGCGAAGCTAATGCGAGAATATCGAGAAATCAGAAGTGAGTTTAACTTCAACATTTCAAAATCTAAAGGCGATTTTCAAGACGCTCTAAGAGATTTATATGAACTTACACTAGTATCTCCAGAACTTTGGATGCTAGAATCAAGACTTCAGTTTTGTGTTGCACACTTTATTAATAAATAAATTGTATTCTTGTTTTTAATTAAAAAATATATCAAAATATCTGTTTATACTTAAATATATAGGGATCCTGTTTGGATAAAAATCTTCTCCATCTCTATTTCAAAAATTACGTTTTATTTTTTTCAATTCTGGTGAAGCTAATTTTTGAATTTTGGAGATTATTCAAAGGGAATCCCTATCATATATTTATCTGACACTCATTATAATATATTATAAAAAATATTTCTCTGATGATCTCACATCAGAGCGTTATAAGTCCATTGTAAACAGCATTTCATCAAAAATTGTATTTTTCATTCTTTTCTACTTTGCTACTTTCCATTAATTGTTTGAGTTCTTTTGGATCGAAACATTCTAAAATGCAATTTTCTCGAATCTTTCTAAATCCTGTAATAAATGCATCAAGTTGCATTTTTCCTTTTTCACTCATTTTTTCACTTTCACTAATTTCTCCTTCGGATCCATTCTTTTCTGATGATGAACTATTATCTTCATCGTTGGTGAATTCTGTACAATCAGAGGACTCAGAATTTTCATTATGGCGATTTATATCTTCTTCAGAATCTGCATGCTCTAATGATGATTTGATAATTCCATCATCTGAAGATTTGTCATCAGGCATAACCACTATCTCTGGTGGGTCATCATATAATAGTTTCTCGTAAAAGAATAAAGGAAATGAATAACCCAGATGCCAATGATTGATAATCATGCATCCAAATATAGTGCCGATGATTTTCAGCATTTCAATATCGTTGAAATCTTCATTGAACCAATAATAATTGTTTGAACATTTCTTGAGGATTGGGTTATCTCCTGATATCAATTCCTTTTCAATATAACTAAAGAATTCATTGCGTAAATCTCCCCCATCAAGAATACCAGAGCCATCTCTTATAACAATCGGTAAAAATATTACAAAATCAGATTTTTGAGTCAATTTCATTTTAAATTTTTCAAGAACATTATCTTCTTTTGGATTGACTTCAATTTCAAAAGTTTGTCTGTCTTTGGTATCATTAGGAAGATGATTGACAAAATCCTCAATTTTTAGATCGAGGAACTTTGTTTTCTGCTCGATATCAAAGAACCAACTAAAATTCTCAATATAACTTGAAGTGTTCTTTAAGTCTTGAATAGGATTTAAACTATTGCTGAAATTTTTATGGATGAAAGAAGATACTGGAAGAATTTGACTTTTTCTTTCCTTGTTTGCGAAGTAAATTATCGATAAAACTCTTGCAACATCTTGATTGAATGTATAGAGTTTATTTGCTTTTGGTTCATCAAAAAACTTGAGCAAACTATTAACAATTCTTTGCAAAATATCTTGATCAAAATTCTTGAACCATTGTTTGAGTGTTTCATTTGCATTTGAACGAGTGATGTATTTAATTATTGTCTTCCAAAAATCAATGTCACTCTCTGTTTCTAATGGATGAAGTAATGCAACAACAAGAAATCTAAGTTTAGAACTTTCTAAATTTGTCATTTGATCAATAAGCATATCATTAACTGTGTTCTTAAATGTTCTATTAAACTCATCCATTCTATTTGTTTCTTTTAATTTATCATAGAATTCAATGACAAGATCGAAATCAATTAAGCAATCTTCTGTTGTCTCTGGTTGATTTCTTATTATAAATGATCAATTGATTGCTGATAATGATGAAAATGTTGCTTTCAACAGATTGTAATTGTTTTTATCTGCAAGAAATAGATCAATGTTATTTCTGTTGATATACAATAACTTTGGAGTTCCATCATTATGACCTTTTGATAAAATGTTATTTGGAATGATTTCTTCCTGCGATGGCATTGTTTTTGTTTGAAATACGGCCAATCCGTTGCGGCAATGGAATATTCTTGAAAATTCGTTAAGTTTATATTCAAACTTTTGTGATAAATCATTCAAATCAATAACATAGAGAGAATTTGATTTAGTGAAACATGATAAATATGAGAAAGGGACAGACTAGCCCATTGTCACTTTTTAATTTAGCAAATGAACGCTTATGGAGTGGAGTTTTTGGGTAAATCTGATTTGCTTATAAATGAAATAAAATCAAAAGAAACCATATTGGCATTATATTATGCAAAAATAAATGATCTTACTTAGTACTTTTAAAGTTAATTTCAGAAAAAATTTGACACAATGGTATCCGGCACATACAAGTGGTGTACAACCAAAATATAAGTTGGTTTAAACATATATTGCTATATCTCATGATCTTACTTAGTACTTTTAAAGTTAATTTCAGAAAAAATTTGACACAATGGTATCCGGCACATACAAGTGGTGTACAACCAAAATATAAGTTGGTTTAAACATATATTGCTATATCTCATGATCTTACTTAGTACTTTTAAAGTTAATTTCAGAAAAAATTTGACACAATGGTATCCGGCACATACAAGTGGTGTACAACCAAAATATAAGTTGGTTTAAACATATATTGCTATATCTCATGATCTTACTTAGTACTTTTAAAGTTAATTTCAGAAAAAATTTGACACAATGGTATCCGGCACATACAAGTGGTGTACAACCAAAATATAAGTTGGTTTAAACATATATTGCTATATCTCATGATCTTACTTAGTACTTTTAAAGTTAATTTCAGAAAAAATTTGACACAATGGTATCCGGCACATACAAGTGGTGTACAACCAAAATATAAGTTGGTTTAAACATATATTGCTATATCTCATGATCTTACTTAGTACTTTTAAAGTTAATTTCAGAAAAAATTTGACACAATGGTATCCGGCACATACAAGTGGTGTACAACCAAAATATAAGTTGGTTTAAACATATATTGCTATATCTCATGATCTTACTTAGTACTTTTAAAGTTAATTTCAGAAAAAATTTGACACAATGGTATCCGGCACATACAAGTGGTGTACAACCAAAATTTCATATACCTAGTTTTACATTTATGTTTAGTTTTATTTCACCTAATTTTCAAAGATCATAATTGAATTAGATGGCCAAGCTATTCAAAACACGACCAAGCTTATCAAAATAAGACCAATATATTCAAAATTCTTTATTCTTTCAAATCATTTCATTTTAATGCAGATCCAAGATCACGAACTCACATATATCGAGTTGCTTAAGTATGGAGTGCAACAAGAAATCCAAGCAGGTTGTAGTTATTCATATAAAACTAGGAAAGAAAGAAATCAAATCCAATTTAATTGTAAGTGGCCGAATTGTCCATGTCGATTCCTTGTTGATACACTTCCCGATGACAAGTACCACATACGAAAATGTATTAACACCCACAATCATTCTGCCCCTTTTCCAAACAAATCACAACAAATTACATCATATTTTTATAGATCTTATTTAACAAGATATTTTGAATCAAATCAAGACCGTGTTTACACACAATTAAGGTGTTTCAAAGATCTTAATATCCCATTTGATAGTGGGATCATTCCGGAAATGTTTCAACAATCTACAGATGCTTTAAAAAAGTTTTCTAAACGCCTTCATGCAATCAATACCCGTTTCTCAGCGGATGATGTTACATCTCTTGCAATTTTTGTCGACATGGTTAAGAGTCATTCTCCAGATGATCTCATCGAGTTTATTCACGAGCCAGATCGTATGATTTTCTATTACGACCCATTCGAAGCAAATGCTTTTTCACATCAAATACAAACTTATCACATTGATTCCAATTATAAGCTCTTGCGCTCTCGCATACCATTTTATGCCGTCACTGGCAAATTCGCGGAATCAATTGTTTTTCCGTTTTTGTATTTTTCGTTTGGCCCGACACAAGTGAAAATATACAAGTTTGTCTCACAGCATATTTTGGCTCCATCAATCGCGAACCATCTTATTTTTCAATGGACTGCGCACCTCAAATCACAAATGCTGTTGAAACAGCCATCCCCTTATGCCAGATCATTTGGTGTGGCATTCATGTGTTGCGCGCTGTCATGAGAAAGGCTGAAAAGTTTCAAGATCGTTCCAACTTCGAAACTTTCTATAACTTAATGAAGTTATTGGTCTTTGGTTCTGAAGAGGAAGAAATTGATCCTGATGAAGTTTACAACAATTTAGAAGAAATTTTAAATGAGGAACCTGCTGCCCGTGAATACTTTGACCGACAGTGGCGCCATCATCTTGACAGGTGGATGCTTCGCTATAGAAATGAAGGAGATGGAACAAACAACATCTCGGAATCACATTTCAAGGTTTTGAAGCACCAGTACTTCCCAGAAAGGCGAAATCTTCTACTCGATGAACTTGTCATCGAGTTATATTCCAGTGTTGTTCCTTCATTCCTGATTAAGTTGCAAATTAAAGGTCTGGATTCAGAGAGAAATGTTAAAGTTATCAAAAAAGTCACAAGAGATTTCGAAGAAATGACACAATTTAAAAAAGTCGAATGCATCAGTATGCTTGAAGCTGTTCAGAAAGGTCTGAAAAATGATACACTTGATCCCAACATTGTTTACTCAACATTAAAAATATTATTGCAAAGAAAACATTTGATTTAATAAACATTTAATTTATTATAATTAATTTTTTATTACAGTATAGTAAAAAATGCTATAAATAAATTATTATATTTTATTAAAATGTGACTTTTAATAGTAAGTGAATAAAATAAATCAGGAATTGGGAAAGAAATAAGGTTAATTAAAAATAATGAAAATTACAAGTTTAAGGTTAATGAAAAAGTGACAATGGGCGAGTTTGTCCCCCACTCTGATAAATATAGGGTGTCCAAAGGTGCGTTTAGCACAGCGCTCTATATGAGACTATTAAAGGAGATATATGCTGATTATAAATATATAATAAAAAATATGAATATATGTATATGATGAGTATGTTGTATTTTGGCGCCATGCCGGGATATAAAATGAATTTTGAGACAAGAGGCGGTTTCGCGGGAAATTTTGGCGGGATTTTTTTCATTTTTTTAATGAATCATAAAGAAAACATCCTCGCTCTTGCAAAAAAATGCAAAGACTGTAAAAAAATCTACGAGACATTGGGAAAATGCTTCGGTATGGATGCTCCTAGCTATTCCACTGTAACGTATCATGTTAGGATGTATCACTTCATGAACAAAAAGGCGCCATCATAAAAATTGACAAAAAATCGCCGGATCAAAGAAAAATCAAAGCAATTCTTCAAGCGCTAGATGAAGACCCAAGAGCATCACTCAGAAGGATAGAGGAGATGACAAAGATACCACGTACAACAGTCAGTTATTATCTGCACAATTATTTGAACTACAAACTAGCGTATACACGTTGGGTTCCGCACAACCTTAATTCAGTTCAAAAAAATCTAGAGTCCAATCTTCGAAAGAGCTCCTCTCTATATTGGGTGCGTATCAATCCAAGAAGTTTCGCTTTTTAGTAACAGGGGACGAGTCTTGGTTTCAATATGCAACAGAAGCCAAAATCATGTGGATCCCGAAGGATGAAAATCCGCAAACATTCCCGAAGAAAAAAATTGACACACCAATGATGATGTTGTCGGTTTTTTGGGGCGTGAATGGCATCATCGCAATTGATATTCTTCAAAAACCTAATACGATGAATGCTCAGTATCTAATTGACAATGTTCTTACTCAAATTATCAATTCTGATGAGTTTGAGAAATCCAAACAACAAAAACAAAAGTTTGCAATTCATTTTGATAATTCAAGAGTTCACAAAAGTCATAAGGTAATGAATTACTTGGTGGAAAACAATGTCAAAGTTGTTCCAAACCCAATTTATTCACCTGATATTGCACCCTCTGACTTTTATTTATTCGGCACGCTAAAAAAGAGAGCTGAAGGACGCGAATTCGCGAGTCCAGATGATCTTGAAAATTTTGTAAGAGAGCAATTTGAGCAATTTTCTCATGATGATTTAAAGCGTGTCTTTCAAGCCTGGATCGATCGCTGCGAACGCGTGATTGAATCCAATGGTGATTATATTTAAATAAACTTTATATATATGTAACTTGTTTATTTCTATTCGCAGTATTCAGGTTTGTGCTAAACACACCTTTGGACACCCTATATCTCTCATTGAAGAAAGCAATATCTTTGATTTGATCGACATTAATTTTATGGATTTTGCATTCATTTTCGCATCTCCATGCATAAGCTATACCTTCGTTGTCAAGTGCAGCACTAAAATTACCCAATGATAAAATTTTGTCAATTCCAACAAGTTTGTCAATTTTTTCAAATTTTTTACCCTGATGAATATAAACATTTCTTGTACTTGAAAGAGCAACGCAGTGATTGTTTCCAGCTGCTAAAGAAATTACATCAATTCCGTAAAGACTTTGGACAAAATCTAATTTTTGTTCTTGGAATAAGTAGACTCTACCATCAACTGTGAGATAGAATGTAAAGTTATCTCCACATGATCCATTAACTAATCGCTTATTCACTATTTCATCTGGTAATGTTTCCCATTCTGCAATAATTTTGTTTTTATAGTCATTTTTTATAAAGTTATCAGTATTTCCGATTCCAAAAGCTGTATACTTTTCACCATCTTTTGCAAACGCAATGCTATGATTATTTCCGCTTGTGATGAAATATACTTGGACATTTTTGTCTTGAAATGGGTAACTTTTTAGTTTGTCATGCAATTGTATGAGTTCTCCTTTCGTGTTTATATAAAAAATCAAGTCAGAGCTACTCGAAATTACTTTTGCGTCTTTTAATTGTGAAATCTTAGAAGAATTAGAAGCTATCTGTTCTCCATTGATAGTTAAAAGGAAAGGAGTTGGTGCATTTTCGCGTGCTGTCATTCAAATAACAATCAAAAAATATAAAAAAATGAATGATTCGAAAGCTCTGAAATATTTTTTGGTCAAAATTTAAAATGTCCAAAAAGGTATATTAATCGTAAATCAAAAAGAAACTAAAATTCAAATACGATTAAAAAAATTTACCACCAAAAATGTAAACCTCGATGTCACTTTTATATACCAACTTCGCTCGCATCGATTTTTATCAATAATTGGACATTCTATTTTCCATTCATGGGTTATATATATACGGTCTAGGTGAATACATTGCGGATCGAAGATCCGCAATGTCTGAACCCCAAAAAAAAATTATATTAAAAAGTATGTTATAAATATAAATTTGGGGGTTCACACAGTTAGTACACCAGTCTTGGGTATGGTGGCACTGCGTTCCACCTTACCCAATACTTGTGAATTTGACACTTTACAAAACCGTTAACGTACATTTTACAACATGAACGCAAAAACTAACTTAACCTTAAATATTTACAAAGCCGCCAACCATTTCACCTCACTAACGAACTCACTAATGAAAAAATAAACGTTCTCATAAATTTTCTTCTATATCTTCATCGTCAATGTTAACTCTATTGTAGTCATACTTGAAGTCATAAAGTTTCTCAAGTTTTGAAATGCATAGTCTTGTTAACTTACCTTCATCATCATAAGTTTTTATAAAACTACCATGACAATCTTTATACACAGTCAATGAAAAGTCAACTGGTCTAGGATGAAGTGTAAAGAACATGTTATGCTCAGGAAGGAAGAATAAATGTTTAAATGTATGTTTGTTATATTTTTCGATTTGTATGAGTTGCTTTTGTTCTGTCATTTACATCCAAAATAAAAATTTTCAGTAAAATAAAAAATAAACTTAAAAATTAATGATATCACCACCCTCACACGTATGAAAACATAGCACAAAAATAAATTTAGGTGAAGTGGTGAGATGTCACCTGTTTTTTCATCTCTTTTTTCACCCGTTGAATTCATTGCTTTATAACTCTCTTCCTTGGTTTCTTTTTAGTTGCTTTCTTCACGTCTGTCTCCAGCTTAACTGTCTTTCTTCTTCGTCCGTAATGATACCAGTTACTTCCACCAGTCAATGGGTCAAATGGTCTTTCGTAAGGGTTTCCATACATTCCATAGGGACCATACGGAAGAACTACTGGTGGAGAAGAAACATTTTCTTTAGTTCCATCGACTCTATTTAAATGCATTGTTTCACCTTTCATCTGGTCATTAAAGTCTTTTGCATGTTTTGCAAACTCATCGTCCTTTCCTAAAGCATTTTCTGACTCAGTCGCAACCAAATTGGATGCTTTATTTATGAGCCCTATTTTATTTAATCTTAACTTCTTTGCAACCCAGCCTCCAATCTTTCCTTTATTTGCATCTAATGTCTTCGAAACTCTTCCTCCACTCATTTTATTTACTGCGTCATAAGCCCCAAGTGCTTTTGCTCCAAATGCTAATGCTTTTGTTCCCATTGCGCCTAAAGCTGCCCAAGCTACCATTTACACCATATTAAAATCATCTCTCTTCAATATTATCTCATAAAAGTTCTCTTTACTGGAGAAAGTCAATGAAACATAAACATTCTCACGGGCTTCGCCCTCACCGCTTTGCGGTCTATCTAACTTCTTTCTTATATCATCTATACGCTTCAAAATGTCTGAACAATTGCTAACATCTTCTACAACAGTTATTTCATCATGAATGACCTTCAAGAACAAGCTCATTTAATATGCTATTAAAATCATCTCAATAATGAGTCCATCCTTTCCATCTTTAGGTAGCACAACATCTTTCATTGAAGAAGGTTCGACAAGTCTTATGTTAAACTTACTGACAAAGTTTGTTATACTATAATGCTTCGGTGGCGAATACATGTAGTTTGAAAGACATAATATAGATTCTTCAGCAAATTCACTTATACTGGATTTTATAACAATGTTCTCACGAGACCAAATACCACCAATTGACAATCTTGTAAGCAATCCTGCTGAACCTTTACTGTAAACGTCGATGGTAACATTCCACGAAGGTCATCTATTGACATCTTTGAGTCACTGAATTTAAATATTTTCTTAAAGCAATCGTCATTATCTAACCATGCAATAGCTTTGAAGTTTTCATTCGAATATACATCTGCTTCATTAAATGTAAAACCTGACTTCTTTGCAGAGATGACTTTAAAATCTATTGAGTTTGTTTCAAAATTATATGCTATGCTAACTTCTGAAGGTAATGGATGTCCTTCCGCAGTCAGTTGTTCTCTCACTACCGTTTGAAGCTTTGTGTTAAAAACTTTCATGTCATCTCCTGTGTCTAGGTTCACATACACAGCAATAGGAAAACTATCTTGCTTCTTTGTCTCATCATTATATCTCAAAACATTAAAGTTCTTCAATAATATTGTCCTTCCTGCTGGAATACTTCTAACTTGTCTTATTTCAATAGCTTTCTCACCTCCTACATACTCTACCAGTGTCTTGGATATTCATAAGTATACTGACTTTCTTGAATTTTGGTTGGTTTCATCATAACGTGTTCATAGTATATCTTTATACTCTTGTCAGTTAGACTCGGTGCTATGTTCTGAATATTTCTGACTTGCATTTTTAATGGAGATAAAATGAAGCATTTAATACATGACGTAGATGAAGACATGAATGAAACTACAGACAAACTTAACTCTTCTCTCATTCTTCCTTTCAGTAAGGACTAT